TCCAGATAACAAAACTGAGGCTCAGAGAGGTTATCTAATTTGCCCACGGGTATGTAGCTGAAAAACAGCAGAATTGGGACTCTCACTGCTCTTTTGGCTATCTACATTGTCCTTTATCTAGCTTATAGAATGTCACAGTTGGAAAATACCCAGAGAGATCTGCAACAATAGAGTTTCATTATCTCTTTGTCTGTATGAGCTTCTTGTAAGCCAGGCTGCATCTTATTTCCTGTAGTGTCCCTGGTAGCCGTACAGTGCTCAATATGCAGCAAGTGCATGGTCACTTTGGTGAATGGACAGATTCAAAGCTGATTTTCATAGGCCTCTCAGAGCCCCCTGCCATTCCCTCTTTTGAAGCTGGTGGCATCAAGAATTTGACAGCTCACCATATGTTGCCCTATGACATGTTGCTTCCTATTGCTTAAGTCTTGGGATGCTGTTAGCTTGTCCTCTGACCATTTGGCAGCTTGTACCATCTTGCACCTCTCAGAGTACCTTGCATAGGGCCTGGTACACCACATGTGATGACTGATTTATGTAGAGACACACAGTGGGGTCCCTGGCTTCCGCCAGAAACCGATGCTCTAATTGTGGACGAAGTTGAGGAACAGCCAAACTGACTGGAGTCAAGGCTGCCCTGTCCTGTTTGAGTACCCTCCTCCCAGCTTTCTTTTTTCCCTGTCTTAGGACGTTCAGGAGAGAGACCCATAACTCCCCCAGCCTCTGCCTTCTTGAAGCCCCTGTCTTTGGGCATGGCTTTCTAGGATGCAGGCTGCCAATGCTCTGTCTTCCCCTGAGTTGTCCCCTTACCCTGGCACTCCTGTGTCCAGCAGAATCTTCGGATGATTCCTATGTGTCCGCTGGAGAGGAGCCCCTGGAGGCCCCCGTGTTTGAGATCCCCCTGCAGAATGTGGTGGTGGCGCCAGGGGCCGATGTGCTGCTCAAGTGTATCATCACCGCCAACCCCCCACCGCAAGGTGAGCTCCCAGGGCTGGGGCCAGGCTGACACTGGGGGAGGGGGAAGCATTCAAGACAGGGAAGGGAGGGGTGGGGAGGAGGGCAGTTATCCCCTCCAAGTGGGCTGCCCTGACTCCTGTGTGTGTGTTAAGGGAGATTTTCCAGGCCCCCCCCCCATACCAAGATGGGGAGGACAACCTGGGCTTCCCTGAGCGAGGGCAGATTCCTCACGATTCCCTGGGGTGGCGATTAGAGTGGTTTGGGCTCCTGTGGGGTGTGTGTGGGCAAGGTGTGATTTTTCTAGTGGGCGCCCACGAGCCATGACAAGCTGGCTCCCCTGTGCTTCCCCACAGTGTCCTGGCACAAGGATGGGTCAGTGCTGCGCAGCGAGGGCCGCCTCCTGGTCCGGGCCGAGGGTGAGCGGCACACCCTGCTGCTCAGGGAGGCCCGGGCGACTGACGCCGGGAGCTATATGGCCACCGCCACCAACGAGCTGGGCCAGGCCAGCTGTGCTGCCTCATTGGCCGTGAGACCCGGTACGGAGCCCGGGGAGCCCAGGGCTGGGTGGGGGAGAGCCGTAGCACTTCCAGAGGTTCTGAGGGAGGCCGTGGGCCCAGGCCCCTCCCCACTCCCAGCCGAGAGCTCAGGCTCTCAGCCAGCATGCATAGTCCACGCACAGTCCGTTCTTGGTTCTTGGTGCCGGCAGCCCTGGTGGCAGCATTTTAAATGGCCCAGGCCTTAGGGAGGGGCAGGGGCCAAATTCCCAAGGCACACACAAGGTTGGCCAATTCATGAAGTCAGAGAAATTTGTCTTTAGACATCCTCTAAATGCCATCCTCCCAGGGCATTTCCCTGAACAGGGTCCTGTGGGGGAAGCAAATTGTCCTTGAGTGTCCAAAAAAAAGCATCTCTTGGCTCAAAGAGCTTTAAGAGCCACCACGAGCCTTCTGAGGACAGCCCTCCCTCCCAGTGAAGGATGCGTTCAAGTGCTACAACCCACCTCCCTGCTTCTGTTGAATCCGAAGCTGTAGAGAGGGTACAGTGGAGAGCACCTCTTCAGAGAGGGCAGTGATGAAGCCGCCTTGTTTTCTATTTTTGTGAAAGCCCTTACTTGGTGTCAGACTACTTTCTTTGGGTTTCAGCCCAGTTTCTTTCTGGTTCTGGCGGCGCTGGGCCAGTGTCCGTGTGTATGGCCAGTGCTGCTCATTCAGGGTTGCTGGGCCGGGCAATGCGATGACCCAGGGTGGTAGGGGTGGAGGAGGGAAGTGTGGGGAGGGGCGTTACAGGAGGAAAAGACAGATTCAGCCCTCCAGGAGGTTACCACTGGGTGACCAGACCTGGATCAGGGGACCTAGGTTGGGGGACGGTGCCAGGCAGATGAATCCAGTGCTGAGGATAGTCAAACAGGTGTTTGAGTCAGGTCAGCGCCGTAGGACGCCTGCAGCAAGAGACGTCGGGCCCTGAAGGAGGCTGGGATTCAGACTGGCACGGGGAGGGGTGGGACATGCCAGGAACAGCACACACTGTTCTGTCCCTTTCTTCCACTGAGTGCTGCAAGAGACAGGATGGCAGAGCCTACACGATGAGGGAGTTCTTGGTGGCGTCCAGTCTTGGTCTCGTGCTACATTAGAGCCTTTGGTTGCCCTGCCTGGCTTGTGGAAAGGCAGGTCCCCATCTTCTTTAGTTTGCATATCCCTCTCAGGAGCCCATGTTTTAGGCTTTCTCCTTCTCACCCCTCCCACTGCGCTGAATCATACCCGCCCCTCTGCTGCGTGCTTCCCGTCCTTCCATCACCTCTGAGATCTGGCCTCTGACTCAGCTCGCAGCTCTCCTTAGGGGGCTCAAGCCTGGTCCCAGGACTCCAGTCAACAGTTGGCTTGGGCTGAGATTTGGCCAGAGGTACCTGGGGGTGCCCTGATACTGGCTCAGGGCCATTTGGGAGCCTTTTAAGGTTGGGAAGGCAGCTTGGGGCAAGGCAGCTGTCAGCCCTTGACTGGGAGTTCTGTGTTTGCTCCTTTGAATCTCCCTGAGCTTGGTTTCCTCATTGTAAACCAGAGATAATTATACCATCCTAACTGCTGAAAGCGAATGTGTGAACGAGCTTTATGAACTGTAAAGCTGTAGACAAATGTTAGTTGTTAGCGTTATTAAGGGGTGATGTTGTGCTCAGGTTTCCATGAGGATCTGGGAAGCGCTTTATCCTTCTCTGCCCTTTTTCTTCACACTCTCTGTGCCTTGGGGACTCCACTCTTGCCCTGGCAAGGCCTACAGCCCCCAGGCCCCCCATCTTTCCCAGCCTTGTGTCCTGTGCCCATCGTGGTATCTCTGGGGAGCCAGAAAGTCTTCATCACATTAGTCGGTCGCACCAGGCATTGCAGCAAGACAGCAGCCCCTGTAAGTCAGGCTGGCTCAAGGGCCTGAGGGGCAGGCACGTGGGTCTAGACTCAGCTCTGGCTGTCGTGGAGCAAGCTGACTTTCTTACCCTACAAGGCACTGTTTGGTCCAAAGTGGCTGGACAGGGGCCAGTGGACCTGGAGAGCAGCAGGAGTAGGCGGAACCAGGGAGTGGCACAGACATTTGGCAAGGACTCGGGGGTGGGGGTCCCAGGCCTGGAGTCTACAGGGGGTGAGGGGTGTGGCTAGGGGAGGGTGTCCAGCAGTGTTGCTGTGGGCGCAGCGGGGAGCAGGTGGAGGGAGGCAGTGGGCAGTGTCTCGTGGGAAGAGGTCTGTGTGCAGCCACCGCCCTCTTGCTCCTCACTCTCCTGCCCTGCCCCTCCACCCCCAGTGATGTGATAACCAGGGCTGGCTGCCCAGCACCCTCTTGGGGTGTCCACCCAACAGCGCCTGCTTTTTGAGGGCCCACAGATCTCAATTCCTGGTTGAGAACCACGGTAACCAGGGAATGGGTGTCTAGAGAATGCAGCCCTGCGTGCTGTGGTCTGGGGGCAGGGTCTGTGCCGGCAGGGCCTGGGCCTCGCCAGCACCCTCCCACCCCACTGAATGACTCTCCTGAGAGCACAGCCCTTCTCCCAGAGGAGATGTGTAGATCAGGGCAGGTGGCCGTGGAGTGTGAGAAGTGTGCTTAACCAAAGCAAAGCTGCCTGCATCCATCACGCAAGCATTTATTGAGTGCCGACCTGGTGCCAAGTGCTACATCTCTCTAAACAGTTTCTTCTGTTTGGACGTGCCACATACTTTTCCCAATCCCTTTCACATCTCTTCCCTTGAGCTACATTGTACCGTGTTTAATATATCCCTTAAGGGACATGTGACAGGTGGTGATATTCCCATTTTACAGCTGGGAAGACAAACACGTGAAGAGTAAGTGATGTAGGGCTGGCACCAGGCCAGCAGCCTTTATTGATCACCTGCAGTCTGCCTATGCATGTTATAAGCAACAGGTGATTTAGGGTGATGGAAACAAGTCCCCCATGAAGCAAATAAAGTTAGTGTGGGTACCAGGTAAAAATCATGTGATTAGTTAACATCCAGTGAGTGCTTCATTTTTACCAGGCCCCGTGTAGATTGGGCTGTCGTCACATTTAGTCCAGCCCTGTGAGGTAGGTTCCATTATTATGCCCATGTTACAGAGGAGGACACTGAGACTTGGAAAGCTTTAGCAAATTACTCTAAAGCAGCATTGGTCAATAGAACTTTCCGTGATGATGGACATTTTCTATAGGTACAGTGTCCGGTATGGTAGTTATGAACCATCTGAGGCTATTGAGCACTTGGAATGTGGCTACAGTGACTGAGGAACTGCATTTTTAATTTCATTTCACTTTAATAACTGTGCATTTAAATAGTCAGAGGTGGCTGGTGACTGTCCTGTTGGGATACTCAGCTCTAGGAGCACAGGGCCAGTTGGAGGCTGCAGTCATGCTTTGAAGCCCTGTTTCTGAATCTCCCAAGCCTACAGGCCTAACCACCAATCCGGTGGTCCCCAACCTTTTTGGCACCAGGGGCTAGTTTCATGGAAGACAATTTTTCCACAGACTGGGGAAGGGGGGGTGTTGTGGGGGAGGGTGCCGAGCTCAGGCGGTGTCGCACAGCCTGGGGGTTGGGGACCGTAGCACTACACTACCCTGTCCCCTTTCCTGCCACTCTGAAAGAGTTTGAGGTTGAGGTGGAGTTGTGCTCAAACCGACTGGGAGGGGACTGCTGGTGCCCCCTGCGGGTGGGTGACATTGGGTTTTTTTCTCTCCTTTCTGTGTTGACTCACCACCTCCACTGTGGCTGTGGTCCCATTTGTTTCCTTGCATGCCTAGGTGAGCACACGTGGGCCCTGACAGGAGGTCTTCTGGGTGCTGTCAGGAGGAAGGGGGATGTGGGAGACCCCAGGGGCCCGAGCCTCCATCCTGCATAGGTCTCATATAGTTAAGCCCAAGATTCTAGCATTTTCCATCAAAGACCTTGGCCTCTTCACTATACTTTAGCTGGCACTGTTTTCTTGTCACAGTGTCACAGCAGAAAAAGACTTGTTTATTGGAGGTCATGAATGCAAAAGGAAAGGAAGAAAACCATAGGACCAATGTCTACACCCTCCTGCCCCAGGTCCCCAGCTGCCTGCTGTATAGTTGCAGGTTGTTCCTTGCCATGGCAGTGGCTGCCGATGGAGGGCCATGCCATGTGGCCCCTGTTGTCAGCCCTTGGCGGGGTTTGGGCAACATCTGGAAAAGCAGCAGGGCATGGTCCCCTTGCCCAGACTCAGCCCTCCCTCCCCCACTCCTGTCTGCCAGAAACAGGTCTGCCTGACAGGTTGGCTACCCAAGGCTGTTACCTGGAGTGGGACATCATCACTCTTGGCCTGTCAGAGTGGGGAGCTAATTTACTATTGGTACTAATGCTGTCTCTAACCTGCAGCAACCGCAGAGTCATACGGAAGCAATTAAACACTTCTGGGGCTAGGTCAGGCTGACCGTGTGAGATTCTCTCTGGGGCCTTGTACATTTTAAACAAAACCCAAAACCTTCTCAGCACCACTCTTCTCCTTGTCCAAGAGGTGGCCCCCTGTGGGATGTCAGGCCAGCCCATGCCTGCCTTTCTCGCTTTCCACGGGCAATTTAAAGAGATGCCTGTGGGGAACCTGCCAAGATGGTGCGTGTGGAGGGCAGTTTGGGAGGGGCCAAACCACAGAGAAATGTTGGTTAACCTGCTGCATGTCACTGCTTCCTCAAAAATCCAGAGTCCCCTTTGCCTACAGAGTAAAGGCCACATGCTTTCAGCTGGCCTCTACTGTCTGGACCCAGAGGCCTGAGGCCGACCCTGGGAGGCACCTGCTCTAGCGTTAAGACGCCCCACTCCTGACTTCTTTACCCAGTTCTACAGCCAGACGGTGGCGCCACAGCCCTCTGCACACGTGCTTTTTGCCTCAAACATTTGCTTGTGCGGTTTCCTCTGCCTAGAATGCTTTTCCCTTTTTCTTACTTAAACCAAACTCTAATTCCAATACTGCCCCTTCCCTCTGTTCAGTCTTCCTCCCTGAGCCAAAAGTCATCTCCTGCTCTCTGTACCCTGTGGCCCTTATCTGCTTCTCTTTCACTACCTTATCATTTGTGCTTGCTATTATAGTTGTTTGTGTGTCTGACTTGTCTTCTCCACCAGCCGGAGGCTCCTGAAGACACTACCATGTCTTTACCATTCCTTAGCCCTCACAGCCATGCCTGGGGGCCCTCCTGAACAGTCAGGGGCTGTGCGTGAGGTGGCAGTGGGTGGACAGAGGTCCCTGTGGCTTCGCAAGCCTGTGGAACAACCGGGGTAACATGCAGAGGCTGGGTAGGACATGCAGCTTCAAGGGTGATAAAGCTCTGCCTAAGAGTGTGGGTGGGATAGGAGAGAAGACCCTGGAGCACTGGTCCTCAAAGTGTGGTCCCCAGACCAGCAGCATCAGCATCACCTGGGAAATGTGTCAGAAATATATATTATTGGCCCCAGCCCAGTCTTGCCGAATCAGAAACTCTGGGAGTGGGGCCCAGCAATCTGTGGTCTAAGGAGCCATCCAGGTGATCTGATGTACAGGAAACTTTGAGAACCACTGCCATAGAGTTAGAGACCTTGCCCAAGATGGGAGGCCAGAGGGTGCCATGGGAAGGAGATGGACTGTGGAGTCAGACCTCCTAGGTCCAAAGCCCTGATCTGAAGTTCAATGTCCCAGTGAGATGAGACTCAGTGATACCATCTCTTAGGGGTGTCCTTCTCCCATGAGGATCAGTAGTGGTCTCTAAACTTTCATGTACATAAGAGTCACCTGGGGTGCTTTTTTAAAATGCAGTTTCTTGACTCCCCATTTCAGGGAATCTAATTCTGCTGGCTGGAGTAAGGCTGAGGAATCTATAGTTTAAATAAGCCCCAGGCGGTCCTGATGTGGTTAGTTCAAGGATTGTTCTTAGAAGCCCTGATGCACAGAGCCTTGTGCAACACCTTTCGTGTACTAGATGCTAGCAGTGGTGGCTGCAACTATGTCTATTGTGTGAACACCGCAGGGGGCGTTGGAAACAGTTGGGACCAGCTGGATGTGCTGGTCTGGGGAGAGAAGGTTTCCCATGGGCTCCCAAGTGCCAGTATTTTCGTTAAATGAGTTTGACCTGGGAGCAATGTTGAAAGGACAGACATGGGCACAGGGTCTGCGTGGGAGGTGGCCGGCAAGTGTGAAGGGGCGGCACTTCCACGGTGAGTCGTTCAGGGCCGGTGAGTGTATGTACCTCTCCGGTTTAGAGGGCACCTGCTCCCAGCTTCCTAGCTGGTGAAAATGTGTTGTCCACAGAGAGAGCTGGGATTGTGGATGGGTCAGGGCCAGGATATCAGGGACTGGCTACAAAGGTGGCTTTGGCTAGGGGGCCAGGGAAACCTAGGTGGTACCAGAGCCTGATGTGAAGCCCCTGGGATCCTCCATCAGCTTCCTTGGCCATGAAGTTTTAGGGGTATGGAGGGGCAGGGACCAATGTCTTGTATCAGAGGCCTCATTCTGCCCCCTCTGGAGCCTGAGCCTTCTGCGTGGGCTGCTCTGACTGTCCCTGTCTCTCCAGGGGCTTGAGAACAGGCTTGCTTGGTGGCTGGATGCCCCAGAGTGCTATTCCCCCAAACACCACCAGGGGTCGCTGAGGCTGCCTTTAAACCTTGCCAATCCAGCATGAATTCCCGCTCTCCCTCTCTGGGCCTGGGGCGCCTCAGCACTGCTCAGCCTGGGGGTGACTCTGGAGCAGGGCTCCACAGAGGGGAGGGGGTGCTGCCTCCAGGGGCCATGCCTGCGATCTCACCGTCAGCTGGGGGTCATGCCTCAAGCACCAAGTGCCATTCTGACTTCCCTTCCCATCCCTACCTCAAGAAGCCAGCCTGAATGGTGAGCCCCTCCTCCTCCTGCCCCCCACCCCTCCTTCCTCACTGCAATGCCGGGAAACATAGGTCACAGCTTGGGAATGTGGCCCTGGGCGGGGCTGAGGTGGTGGGAGGAGGAGGAAGGACATGTGACCCCTGCTCAATACCCCCTTCTCTCTGGCTGTTTCCAAACCCCTTCCCAGCCTAGGTACAAATGGGTGCTAGTTACGAGGGGTCATCTGGGGGAAGCAGCCCCTGTTCTCCTCACTGTTGGCCCTGGTGGGGCCAATGGATGAAGGCAAGTTGCCAACAGGTGTCCCAGCAGAGCTGGCAGGAGGGTGGCTGCAGGGCCAAACCTGCCATGGCAGGAACTGGGAGGCACAGGTGGGATCTGGGCTCCCTCCGGTTGAGGGGGACACCTCTGGGAATGAGGGCGAAGGTCTTGACAGTTCTGAGTCTCAGCACAGGGGAAACGGTGCAGCCTGGCTCTGTAGTATTTGAGGCTCGTCAGCGCATTCCCAGGCTGGGTTTCTTGGTGGTTTGGTCAGGACGATGGCAACAGGGGGGCCATTTGCCGCGGGGACGTGTCAGAGCTAATCAGGGCGAGTGTCTTCAATGCCATGGTGCAGTGCCTCCCCTCCCCTTCCTGCTCTGGGAACTGAGGCCCCCACACCTTGACTCAAGGCACCACCGAGGGGCTTTGCTCTTGTCAGAGTCCAGAAGCTGTAAGGAGAGAAAAGGCAGATCCTGCTGCCGCTGCCGGGGAATGAGCAGGGTGGCTAAATTCAGCCTGGCTGTGCTCTGCCCCTCCCCGCTCCTCCCCTCCACTCCAGGGCCCAGGCTCCCTGCGGTCTCAGCAGGCACCACCTTCCCAGCCAGCTGCCGGCCTGCCACCCAGCCTCTCCCCTGGCCAGCCCTCACCTCCTTCCCCCGCCCTGGGCCTTCTCAGTGTGGGCTGTCAGCTGGGTCAGCCAGCCCACTGAGCTAAGCTGGGGCTGGGCTCCTGGGCTCCTGGGCTCCTGCTCCCTGGGGAGCCAGGTGGGGTGGGCAGAGGGCAGGCAGCAGGAGGGCCTGGTGCCAGGGCAGAGCTTTGGGACAGGCGCAGGCTGGGGTCCGTGTGCAGAGCCTCGGGTGAGTTGGGGTGCAGTCACTATGGGGGCTTGGGGTGGGGAAACTGGAGGAGGGGCCGGGGGCTGTGGCAGATTCATGTCTGTATTTGGCAGTCGGATAGGAGCCAGCTCAGCGAGGCTGGGCCCCTGGCCAGTTGCGGGGGAGGGCGTCAGGGCCCTGGGGACACCCCTCCCCCAAGGCGGACTCTGGTGCCCCCCTCCTTCTCCCCAGGCTGAGCTTCCCTGTTCTGTGGATGACTCCAGCTCTGCTTTCCTTTCCCCTGAGAGTTTGGGGTCCATGCTGTAGGGCTGGGGCCAGCAGGTGCCCCTGGGCTTTCTGTGGCAGGAAGCTGAGAAGGGAGAGGGGGAAGGGCAGCTGGACGGTGCTGCCCCATTGGCCCCGGTCTGAGGTCAGGATGGGGCTGGTCTGAGGAGCTCGTTCCTCTGCACCAGGCCCAGCTCACTCAAGAAACGGGTGTTCTGGCTGTGCCACTCTGGGGTCCCAAGGTGTGCACCACTTGCTTTTGGAGCTGGTGATTGGTAGTTTGGCCCCCACTCCATGCCAGGAACGTGGGTTTACTGCGCCAGAGGAATTCTGGGTCTCCCACAAGACCCAGGATGGGCCCTTCTGCTGCCCGAGTCCTTTGCCCCAGGCCATTCCTTACAGTGTCCCCTCCCAGGAGGTCAGCAGGGCCAATGTTGCAGAGTCTGTGGTAGAGGAGGATTCAGGGGTTCGGGGACAGCAGGCACTTGCCGAGACCATGCAGGAAGTGAGTGGGAGCCCAGGAGGTGAGGTGAGGTCAGGGCAGGGCCGGCCTTCGGGCAGCTGCCTCAACTCCTGGGCTCTGTGCAGCATTCCAGTGGCCTCCTTTCCTCCACTGGCATCTTCCTCTGTCTCTCCTCCAGGTGGGTCCTCGTCCCCTTTCAGCAGCCCCATCACCTCGGACGAGGAGTACCTGAGCCCCCCAGAGGATTTCCCGGAGCCTGGAGAGAGCTGGCCCCGAACCCCCACCATGAAGCTCAGTCCCAGCCAGAACCGCCGTTCTTCTGACACTGGCTCCAAAGCACCCCCCACCTTCAAGGTCAGAGCCCTGAGGCTGGTGCCAGGCTCCCCTGTACTCCCATTCCTTGTTCTTAGGGCCATGCTTAGGCTCCAGCGAGACCTGGAACTTTGCCCCTAATTAACCCTTTTACCCAGAGCCAGCCTCTGCCGGGGCGGGTGGAGAGGCCCCTGTCCCAGATCCTCCAGCCCCCAGGAGCCAAGACTATGCTGTCTCCCCTGACACTTTGGAGTCCCCCTGCAGGTCTCACTTATGGACCAGTCAGTAAGAGAAGGCCAAGACGTCATCATGAGTATCCGCGTGCAGGGGGAGCCCAAGCCCGTGGTCTCCTGGTGAGTAGCAGCCGCTCGCACCACCCACCAGCTCCCTGGCTCCAGGCTTGCCCCTGCCAGCCCGGCTGTGGGTGGAAGGAGTGGACCCTGCGTGGACTACCCTGTGAGCTACCTCAGGAGGCCTCGTCCCAGGGATTGCAGCCACTCCCCCAACACACTTGCCCCTCACCCTGCTATTCCAGGCTTATTCAGGACCTCCCCTTCCAGGGAGGGGTTTGGGCAATAAATGGTCTCCTATTTGTCCACATGTGGGTCCTGGAGAAGGCTGCCCACCCCCCACCCCCATCAGTTGACAGCAGGGTGACTTTTGAGGCCCGCTCTGTGCCCAGCTCTGTGCTAGGCCCACTCTTAACAATTTGTTTCTGAGCTGCCGGAAGCCTGGAGTTAAATGTGGGTCTCAGCTGCGGTGCCTCGCTCAGCCAGGTGCCTGGAACATCGATCACTCGGCTTGCTTGTGTTTCATTGGTTCAGGTTCTGGTTTTTATTTTTAATTGATTGTCTGGTCCCTGCTGTGATTTTTTTTTTTTTTAACATTGTAAGTTCTTTCACATCCCTTTTGGGAAATGGGAAGGCTATCTCTCCATTATAAATAAATAAAAATGAGACATGAGGAAGTTTAAGAACTAGTTAAGAGCTAACTAGCATGTCTGTATTCTGAGCGAGGTGGGTTCTGCAAAGGCAGAGGCCCAGGGGGCAGAGGTGGCCTGGAAGTTCTTGGAGGGGGTGGGACGGCAGAGTCAGGGTGAGGACCTGGCTCTGGCACCCAAGGCCACTGCGGCTGATCTGGGACCTGGGCGAGCTGCTCGGGGTAGACAGGCCCACATGGCCCCGCAGCCCTACCTCCCTGCACCCGCAGGTCAAGCCCAGGGCCAGGACTGAGTTCTCACCCCTCTGACAGGCTGAGAAACCGCCAGCCCGTGCGCCCCGACCAGCGGCGCTTCGCAGAGGAGGCGGAGGGCGGGCTGTGCCGGCTGCGGATCCTGGCTGCGGAGCGCGGCGATGCCGGCTTCTACACGTGCAAGGCGGTCAACGAGTATGGCGCTCGGCAGTGCGAGGCCCGCTTGGAGGTCCGAGGTGAGTACCTCCCACGCTCCGTGAGCCCCCACCTCGTCCTGGCCCTGGCCCTGGCCCCTACCCTGACAGCTCTCACATGGCCTCAGTTACAGGACACCGCCACTGAAAGGGCCTTAGGGGTTCTCTGGTCCAGCTGCTTATATTGCAGTTGAGTAAGCCGAGGCCCAGAGAAAAGAAGCGACTTGCCTGGGGCACACAGCAGATTGTCCCATGCTCAGCTTACTAGATGGTGCTGCCTCCCCCATACCCCATCACGCAGCCCTGAGAGCAGCCAGAGACCCTGTGCCCACCACCAGCCGTCCTCTCCGCACACTCTTCTGAGCCTTTGTCTCCTGCTCTGCCCAGGCCCCTCCCTCACTCCCACACCCCCTCTCCTCTTGCCCCCTTGCCCACCCTGCCCATCCCATTGCTGTGCAGAAGCTTTTGTGGTTGGGGTAGCAGTGGGTGAGTGGTGGCTGGACCCGTTCGGAGGGGCCCTTGGGGTGACTTGGGCATGGAGCATCACAGGGACCCCAGGGGACCAGGCTGATCACAGCTGTGAGGTGTGGAGTTGGGAGCACACGGGCAGTGGGGATGACCAGCCTTGGCTAGGCTGTCCTCCGAGGCCGGTGGGTTTTTCTCCCGGAGGGCTGGCCGTTTTCTTGTCTTCTACCTCAGCCTTTCCCATGATGGCTCAGGACCAGGGACCTCTTCTAGCTCCTCCTTCAGCCCTCTGCCCTCCCTGCCTCCCACAAGGCTCAGTCCTTTCATGCCTGGCGGAGGCCATTTCTGAGAACTTCCCAAGTTACTGCCAAGGCACCTACTGGGGCCCAGTCCCTAAGGGGTCTTAGTCTCTCTGCAGGGTCCCACCTGCCTCAGTGACCCTCCTCTGTGCCTCCTGTCCCTGTGGTTGTCCCCTCCCTGATCCCAGATTCTTCCACTCTCATTCTCTGGCCTGCTCCTTCTCCTCTAGGCTCTGGCTCTACCTATGCCTCGCTTCTCTGTGTTAACCCATGTCTCAGTGCTTCTCTCTCTTTGGGATTCCTCCCAATGTCCCAGGCTGTGGGGTGCTCCTCATGCCTGTGAATGCCTCTGCCCTGGTGGCCCAGAGTCTCTGCCTGCCCAGGAACCCCGGGGACCCAGCCTCTGGCCAGCTGCCGGCCCTCTTGGCCCAGAGCTGGTCTTGGGGGACTTGGGGGAGCTGAGAGGCAGCTCTCTATCCAAAAGGGCCCTAGCCAGGTCCGTGCGCCTGTGCGTGCGTGTGTGCGTGTGCGTGTGCGTGTGCTGCACTAACCTGCCGCTTGCTGACTGAGGTTTTTGTCTGTACACAGGCGAGTGAGCTCAGGGGGCACCTGCGCTCCCCCCGCTACCCTCCGAGCCGCGCCCCTGTCTCAGGCACCTCTCGGACCTCGCTGTGTCTCACTGCCTCCTGCCCACAGACCCAGGCCTGCCGGCCCGGACCCGTCCCAACCTCCCCTCCCCACCCCATGCAGCACCCCGGGATAGCACATGGGCCCCTGTGGACCCTCCCTACCTGAGTGGACACATGGCTGTGCAGGCCAGGAGGCCGCCAGATGGACTGAGTGCCGGGAAGGGGCGGCCATGGGGGGATCCAGCCCCCCAGTCTCTCCCCACAGGGGAGCATCGGGCGAGCGCATGTGCTACTGCTGCTACAGGCCTGTCTGTCTATCCGTTTGTCTGTCTGTGTGTCTGTGACAGTCAGGAAAGGAGGCCTCTGAGCTGGGGTGGGTGAGATGGAGCAGGAAAGGAAAGGCATGGCATCCACAGGAGGGGTGGGCCCAGAGGGGCAGAGGCTGTTGACAAGAGTCTCATTGCGAAGGGGGCAGGTACTGACCATTCCTGAAATAGGGTTCTGATGGCACAACACTTTCTATTCCACAAGAGACCAAAAGCCAGAGGCCCAGGCCAAGCCCTGGCCCTGGCAGGCTTAGGGCCCGTGCAGGGCTCCCTCCTTCAACGTCTTGGCCAGGGATGCTCTGCCTGGGTATGAGGGAGCGGACCAGGCTTGGTGCAGGGGCGGGGGCTGCTGTCCTGGGTGCTGAGATACTCAGTAACACCAATTTCTTAGTTTGAATAAAGTCCAGTTTGTACCCAGCTGGTGTGCTGTGTTTTTTTTCCCGCCGCCGTCTCCGCTACCACGTGGCCCTCTCAATTTCCCCTCTCCTAGTGCCCCCTCGCCTCCCATGAGTCACCCTCCCTGGCCCAGCCTGGGTTGCCATCTCGAAGCCAGGTCTAGGCACTCCTTGCTGTCCTGGCCAGGCGGGTGGGCTTTCCCTGTCTCCAGTGGAACAAAATGCATCTCTCTCTCTGTGTCTGTCTGTCTCTCTGTGTGTGCGTGTGTGTGTCTCCCCCACCCTGTGTGTCTCTGCTCTGTGTGTGGCCCCTGTGGCTGCTTTCCCCCCAGCACACCCTGAAAGCCGGTCCTTGGCCGTGCTGGCCCCCCTGCAGGACGTGGACGTGGGGGCCGGGGAGATGGCGCTGTTTGAGTGCCTGGTGGCGGGTCCCACTGATGTGGAGGTGGACTGGTTGTGCCGAGGCCGCCTGCTGCAGCCTGCGCTGCTCAAATGCAAGATGCATTTCGATGGCCGCAAATGCAAGCTGCTGCTCACCTCTGTGCATGAGGACGACAGTGGTGTCTACACCTGCAAGCTCAGCACGGCCAAAGGTAACTGCCCACTCAGGCCCTAGGGCTGCTGTGGTGCCTGAGAGCTGGAGGGAGGGGACTGAGAGTGCAGAACATACTCCCGGGAAACGGGGCTCTGTCTCTTGGGGGAGGTGCAAGGGGTGGGAGATGGGGCAGCACCCCTGCTCCAAGACAATGAGCACTTAGACTGGTGCCTGGCACAGAGGGAGTACTGAGTCAAGGTTAGCTGTGCCCATGAGGGAGCAGCGTGCTGAGGTGTAGCAGGCAAACCTAGACCTGGTCCCAGCTCCTGCCCTGCAGCTTTGCAAGTCACTTCATCTCTCCAAGCTTTTGACTCTTCATCTGTAGAAAGGGATCACGATAATACCTACTCCGTAGGGGGATTGGTAGGATTAATGAGATAACATATGGAAAGAACAAAGCACAGCGCCTGTCAAAAGGTAGCACCTAATAAATGCCAGGCATTATTGTTGCTAATGACATCTCTGACTTGGTCCTGTCCTTGTGTGAAGGGCAGGGATGATGGTACCTACCTTACCAGGTTGTAGGTGGTGGCATCTGAGGTGAAGCTGGCGGGGCTTTGTAAGCAGGAAGAGGCATTGGGTCGGCATAAGGGATCATTGTCTCCTCTTTGTAGGGTGGTAGAGGGGCATCTGCTCTGGGTCTGGGGCAGGCAGGAATGTGTGTATGACCCGGGCACAGAGGAGAGTTCCAAGGAGGGGCACTGGAGAGGGAATGGGCTTGGCTTCTGGAACCCTCCTAGAGTTGGGCTGGGCTTCCTTCCGGGAGGGCAGGGTGTGGTGAGGAGGGGAGAGCTGGGCCAGGCCCCGGGCTGCTATGGAATTTCCAGCCTGCCATAGTGGCCTACCGGCCACCCTTGTGAACTTCCACCCTCCTGAGAAGGTCACCTCCGGTGCTGAGAGCCTTTGCTGGGCTCTGCCCAGGCTCCTGCTTCCTTCCCAACCTTAGGCAGGACTGGCAGGTTGGGGTTGCTGGGCCTTCGTGGCCTTCCCTGTCTCTGCATTGTCCCCTGTCCCCTGTCCCCTGCCCCCAGATGAGCTGACCTGCAGTGCCCGGCTGACCGTGCGGCCCTCGCTGGCGCCTCTGTTCACACGGCTGCTGGAAGACGTGGAGGTGCTGGAGGGCCGAGCCGCCCGCTTCGACTGCAAGATCAGTGGCACCCCACCCCCCTCAGTTACCTGGACTCACTTTGGTATGACCCCCGCCCTATAGTGCTGAGGGACCCCCAAGGGCCTAGGCCAGGATGGGGTATGCTGAGGGCAGGGCCCCTGCTGTGCTCTGTATCCCACCCCTCCCTCCCCCAGGCCACCCCGTGGAGGAGAGCGAGAACTTGCGGCTGCAGCAGGATGGGGGTCTGCACTCACTGCACATCGCCCATGTGGGCAGCGAGGATGAGGGGCTCTATGAGGTCAGTGCCACCAACACCCATGGCCAGGCCCACTGCTCAGCCCAGCTCTACGTGGAGGAGCCCCGGACAGCTGCCTCAGGCCCCAGGTACCGCCTAGGGCCCCAGGTGCCGCCTGGGCTGCCACTGAGGGGGCTAGCCCAGCCCTGCGGTGGGAGGCGCGGCCCAGGCCTCTGGGCAGCCCTGTGGTTCTTACAGCTCGAAGCTGGAGAAGATGCCATCCATCCCCGAGGAGCCAGAGCAGGGCGAGCTGGAGCGGCTGTCCATTCCCGACTTCCTGCGGCCACTGCAGGACCTGGAGGTGGGCCTGGCCAAGGAGGCCATGCTGGAGTGCCAGGTGACTGGCCTGCCCTACCCCACCATCAGCTGGTTCCACAATGGCCACCGCATCCAGAGCAGTGACGACCGGCGCATGACACAGTGTATGTGCCCAGGGAGGGACCTTTGGGAGAGTCCCCTTCGGCACCTTCTTGGCTCGTAGTGCCTTATCACCTCCCTGGCTTCCCTCAGGGCCTTCCCTCTGTGCCCTAGTCAGGGATGGGGCACCCGAGGGAGGGGCCCAGGGGGGCTGTGAGGTCATGGCCTCCCGCTCAAGCCCACACAGCACTCATCTGCTGAGTCACCCCTTGGTGGCCCTGTGAGCACTCACTGGACAGGCAGAACAGCCTGCTGCTGGCCAGCATTGGACCTGTGAGCACGTTACAGAACCCCTCTGTGTCTCAGTTTCCTCATCTGTAGTTGAGTTTTTCCAAGATTAAGTCAGTTAATACATATAAAGCACTTAGAGCAGGGCCTGGCAAACATTCCTGGTCAAGGAATGTTAAATCCTGCTGTCGCCACCGTTGTCACTTGGATAGCACAGTGCTGCCCCTAGAGATGCTTCAATGAGACAGCACGTGTGGGCGATGTCCTGCATGGAAAAGATGCTTGGGCCACGGCTGATGACTAACAGCAAATTAAAAAGGAGTGGGGCTTGGTGTCCTCTCGGCCTGGGATACCTTCTCCTGGGGGTGTCTCAGTTCCATCCTTGAAGGACTCTGTCTCTTGTGAGACGGTCTGCCTGCCTCCCCACAATGCCCACGCTGCCACCTGTGATGGTTTCCTCTTACGACTGCAGCGGGACAAAAGGTCGCCTTTGTTAGGTGCTTTCTAAGTGCCAGGCCCTGAGTGCGAAAGGCCTGATGTGGACCATCTTACCTTGCCACAGGCCTGTAATCAGGTATTATTAGCCCTGTGTACAGATAGGGAAACTGAGGCTCACAGACATACAGGAACTTGCCTAAAGGCAAGCAAGGACTGTCTAAGTCTGGTGCCCATCTCCTTTTTTTTTGAAACAGAGTCTCACTCTGTTGCCTGGGCTAGGGTATCATGGTGTCAGCCTAGCTCACAGCAACCTCAAACTCCTGGGCTCAGGCAATCCTCAGCCTCCTGAGTAGCTGGGACTACAGGCATGCGCCACCATGCCCAGCTAATTTTTTCTATTTTTAGTAGAGATGGGCTCTCCCTCTTGCTCAGGCTGGTCTCCAACTCCTGAGCTCAAAGGATCCTCCCGGCTCGGCCTCCCAGAGTGCTAGGATTACAGGTGTGAGTCACCATGCCCAGCCTGATGCCCATCTCCTAATCAGGAGATGCCTCTGTCACCCATGTCCTATTTTCCCTACCCCACCTACCACCATGGCTCTGACCCTTGCCCTCAGCCTCCTGCCCCATCTCAGCTGTCTTTGCTCAGCCACAGGCCTCCCTGTCTCCCATCTGCGCTGAGGCCCTGGGTGGGTTTCTGTCTCGGCATCTGAGCTGGCGTCTCGGCTCCTATCCATATCTGGGGTCACTGGCAGCCCTTGGCTTCTCTTCCCGTATAAATAGTGTCAGCAGAGATAAATGAATGGGTGACTGTTCTATGCGGAGATAACCGCTAAGAAAAGGGAGGGTGTTTTGCGACAGCCCCGATGTGAAGGAGGACAGTGCGGGCCTCCTCTCTGTGTCCTCGCCAGAGACAGTGTCCTTATCATTCAGGGAGCAGGGTAGAAGGAAAGAGCTTTGGAAGCAGATGAAACCAAGTTCAATCCACGGCTTCATCATTTGTTAGCTGCGTGACCTTGGGCAAGTCCATTAATGTCTCTGACCTCATTGGTAAAATGGGGATCATTTTGTCGGATTGTTGAAAGAATTGTGTGGGGGGAACCGTGTCAAGTACCTGGCACAGGCTGGGCACAGGCAACGCTTATCATTTATAATATTTTTGGCACTTACTGCACAGAGCTCCTGGGTCTGGTGGGACAAGCAGATCTGACAAAGGCAGCCCTCTCTTTAAGGAGATTGTAGGCTGGGTCAGGAGCAATGGCTCATGCAAGTACAGAGGAAGAAATGCACCCCGCACCCCCAGCAAAGCAGCGTGCGCTGGTGCCCAGGGATGTGCAGGGGGGAGGGTTAGAGTCAGGGGACCGGGGCCTGGCAGGGGGCTTTCACAGGGCTGTACCCACAAACTACATCTTGAAGGAGGCGCAAGCCTTAGGTAAGAGGAGAACGTTCCAAAAGGCAGGAGTCTTGTGAGCAGAGACCTGGAGCTGGAACTCGCAAGGCTTGTTCAGGGCCCTGATGGTTCGTCAGAGTCAAGACGTGCAGGAGAGCAGGAGACTGGTGGGAAGGGGCTGGGCTGAGGCTTTGGCTGGGGCTTTGGAGGGCTTGCCTGGGGCTCTGCAGGAGACGTGGGACAGCAACGTGGGGGTGAGAGGTGGGGATGGGGGGCAAGCCTTAGGAACAAAGCCTTGTCAGAGCTTTGACATGGAGATTGTGACCCTGCAGAAGGGTGGAGATGATAGGTCAGTCAACAAGGTAGGGCCCCCAGAGGGTGGCACAGTGTAGGAGGAGATGACAAGTTGCTGGGTCTGAAGTGGTGCTGGAGGGACAGGCCACAGGGGCCATGGCTGCAGTTATCAACTTAGGAGCCCTGGCCTGGACCTGGAGTTTACTATGTGATGGACACACTTGTTGCTCCCTGCCCTTGTCTCCTCCCTGCAGTGGGAGGGATCGAGGGGCCAGGCCCGGGTGGCATGGGCCCACCCCTCAGAGTATCCCCTAGCTCAGGCCCAGTGTCACTGTCCCTCCCCCACCAGACAGAGATGTACATCGCTTGGTGTTCCCTGCCGTGGGGCCTCAGCATGCTGGCGTCTACAAGAGTGTCATCGCCAACAAGCTTGGCAAAGCTGCCTGCTATGCCCACCTGTATGTCACAGGTGAGACAGGCACCTTCCTGGTCAGCTGTGTCCAGAGCCTGGTCTCTGGCATGACCTGGGGGATGGCGGAGAGGGGCCGTTCACACCAGCTCCCTTCCCCTCGATCCCCTGCCCCTGGCCCCCAGCCTGCTGCCCTGAGGTTTGGTGATCCTGCAGAGCTGTCAGACCCTAAAGGACCCATCCAACCTGTGGCTTTCAGATGTGGTTCCAGGCCCCCCAGATGGCGTCCCGCAGGTGGTAGCTGTGACTGGGAGGATGGTCACACTCACATGGAACCCCCCCAGAAGTCTGGACATGGCCATCGGTGGGTCAGGGCCACACAGGGCTGTGGGTGGGGATGGGGTGTGGACAGGACAGGTTTGGGCAGGGCACCGAGGGAGCCAGGCCCCTGGAACATATGGGCAGGGGCAGGAGCGGCTTTGCCCGTGTTTACTCCGGGGTGGACGAGGTCCTCGCTCTGGGTCAGGAGAGGAGCTGTGGGGCACCACCACGTTCCCTTCCCGTTCTCAGAGGGACTAGGTGCCTGTGTTGTGATCCAGGGATTCCCTCCCATCCCCTTGTCTCATCCCACTCTGTGCCTCAGTTTCCCTACCTCAGTTAGCAAGGAATTGGAGTGCAAGTCCAGCCCTCAATGCCTGTAACTGATGCCTTGCTGGCTCTATGCCTGGCCAGGGGAGTAGTTGGGCAAGATTAGATGAGGGATGGGGTCCGGCAGAAAGCAGCAGGAGAAACTGAGGCACGTCCTCAGAGCAGACTAAGGATGAGCTTCAGGGTCCCGAGCCAGCTGGAGGGGGAGGGTGGGTGCCGCCCAGGCAACGTCAGGCTCTAGCAGCTCCTCCCCTGCCAGACCCGGACTCCCTCACCTACACGGTACAGCACCAGGTGCTGGGCTCGGACCAGTGGACAGTGCTGGCCACAGGCCTACGGGAGCCTGGCTGGGTGGCCACGGGGCTGCGGAAGGGGCCCCAGCACGTGTTCCGGGTCCTCACCACCACCGTCAAGAGCAGCAGCAAGCCCTCGCCCCCCTCTGAGCCTGTGCAGCTGCTGGAGCGCGGTGAGTGGGGTGCTCCTGCGGGGGAGGGGGGTGGGAGCTGCTGGGCCGGGGAACAGGGGCCTGTGGTGGGGGCTCCAGAGCTGGCCTGGACACCACGACTGGCGGGAGCAGCCTGGCTGGGAGGGCCCTGACCCACCAATGTGCTTCCTTCTCTCTCCTGAGGGCAGCAGGGCACAGCGGGTGAAGCTGAGGCTTTGGGGTCAGACATGCTGGGGTCTAACCCCAGCTTTGCCGCTTCCTGGCTGTGTTTCCTGGACAGGTTGCTAAACCTCTCTGAGCCTCAGCTCCTCGCCTATAAAAATGGAGCTCGAGTGGCTATTAGGGATATTAAAGGGGGAGTGGGTGCTGAGGCCCCGGTGTCAAGCCCAGCACAGAGCCTGTGCTCTCCTCCTCCCAGGCCCGCCCCTGGAGGAGGCCCCTGCTGTGCTGGACAAACCGGACATCGTGTATGTGGTAGAGGGACAGCCTGCCAGTGTCACTGTCACCTTCAACCATGTGGAGGCCCAAGTCGTCTGGAGGAGGTGGGCCCCCTGCTCAATCCCCACATGCGGCCGTCTAGTTCTCTCCCAGTCTGGCCAGACCCTCCTGGGACTAGATCCTGGGTGACCTCCCTAATCGTGTGTCCCTTAGCTGCCGGGGGGCCCTCCTAGAGGCCCGGGCAGGTGTGTACGAGCTGAGCCAGCCAGATGACGACCAGTACTGCCTTCGGATCTGCCGGGTGAGCCGCCGGGACATCGGGGCCCTCACCTGCACTGCTCGAAACCGACACGGCACGCAGACCTGCTCAGTCACACTGGAGCTGGCAGGTGGGTGACAGATGGCCTTTTTGTTCTCCCTCTGAGGCCCACAGCTCTCTCCTCACACTCCTAAGTACACGACATGCCTGCCACTGCTGGGGATCCAATTCCATGTCTTCCCTCTCCAGCCTGTCCCTCTAATGGCTGTAATAATACCAGTCCTAGTAATAACAACAATAATGGTACCAATAAGATATTTATGGAGCACCTAGTACATGCCAGGCTCAGTACTAAGCACTTTACATGTATCATCTCAGTTAATATTTACATCAACCTTACGAGATGGGGTTGGTTTATTATCCCCATTTTACAGATGAGGAAACTGAGGCTCAAAGAATATGCTAAGTAACTGGTCCAAGTTCACACAACCTAATAAGTACAGGATCTGGATTCAAGTCTGGCTGCCTGACTCCAAAGCCAGTGAGTGCTCCTAGCTCCTCCATTAAATCCAACAGGAAGGCCGGCGCGGTGGCTCACGCTTGTAATCCTAGCACTCTGGGAGGCCGACGGGGGCAGATTGCTCAAGATCAGGAGTTCAAAACCAGCCTGAGCGAGACCCTGTCTCTACTATTAAAAAAAAAATAGAAAGGAATTAATTGGCCAACTAATATATATATATATAAAATTAGCCGGGCATGGTGGCGCATGCCTGTAGTCCCAGCTACCCAGGAGGCTGAGGCAGGAGGATTGCTTGAGCCCAGGAGTTTGAGGTTGCTGTGAGCTAGGCTGACGCCACGGCACTCACTCTAGCCTGGGCAACAAAGCGAGACTCTGTCTCAAAAAAAAAACAAAAAAAAACAAATCCAACAGGAAATAGCGTCTGAAATACAAGTATAGGAAGACCAAGTTGATTAAAAAAAGAACAAGCCCAGGAGCGCATCTCACACCACACTCCCAGCTCTGAGGACACCCCTCTGCATGAGCCTGTTTGCAGAGTCTCCCAATCTTTGCAGGAAGGACTCTTTTTGTAATTTCTCCTTTAAAGATGCAGTCTCTCAAACCATAGCTCGCATTAGGTGGTAACTGTTTTGTTTTCCAGTCTGTTAATTAACTCTAAACATACGTAACTGCCACTCAGAATTTCTGATCAACGTGGGCTAAAGAGTGTTACCTGCTGAGTAGATATAATTCCAACCAAAAGCAAAAAAAGTGACATTTTAGTTAGCATAGGCAATCTTATCATGGGTAAATGGACATTTTCTGTTGCTTTTTAAAAAATCGTTGAAACTGACTTGCAACCTTCCTGTGCTTTGACCTTCATAGACTGGCCCTACCACCTCCCTGCTGAGTGGGGACCAGATTCCTAGAGGGGAGGGGAGGTGTCTTTGAAGTGGAAGAGAAGTGGCAGCAGGGTGTGTGAGGAGGAGACGGCCAGTCCGGCTGTGAGGGTGGTAGACGGGATGAGCTCCCTTCCTCCCTGCCCAGCCCCCGCCCCACACCCTCCTCTGTCACCACTTTGCTCCTAGACAGTACCATCTGCACACCTTATCCATCTTCCCAGATATAGGAGGAGGCCCTGGCCCTGAGAACCCTGCAGCCCAGCCTGGCTGGGCAGTGACTGATGGAGACTGTGTTCCAGCCAGCCAGGGCTGAAATGGGCCTGGGCTTGTGTTGAACACCCCCATTCCACTAGGCCCCACCCACCACCGTCCAGGCATGGCGGGCGGAGTGGGGGGGGTCCCTTTCCTCCACATCGGCCCCACTGCAGTGTCTTCCCCACTGCCAGGACGGCCTCCCCTGTGGTCTGTGTGCCTGTGAAGGCTGCCCATCTATACCCAGCGACCCTGCTTTTCTCTGCCTGCCTGGATCACTCCCACTCCCCTTAAAGCTGAGACCCTCAAACATGCTCGGGATAGGGGGGTACCTGGAAGTCACAGGCTCCCTGGAAAAGCACATTGCCATGTGTATTTAACTCCATCGTGAGAATTAGAAGCCTCTTTACCAGGAAATCATATGACCATGTGATATGTGTGGAGAAGGAAATCACAGCCACATGTGGAAGAACTAAGCTGAGAGTCAGTTTCTAGATGGTTCGATTAATATTTGGGGTCACTTTTTTGTTCATCTTGTCATCTACCACAGTGGTAGAAGGCACCCTAAACATTTAAATAAGACTCAGAGAGAAAAACTTCAAATTAGAGGCAGTGTTAGCCATGAGTTTAATTCAGGGTGGCAGGTGCAAGTGAAGTCAGAAAAGTGGCGGGGTGGCGCTGTGAACAAGGGCAGCCACCCACAGGGGGCAGCATCGAGCCGCTCCTCGTCAGCGGATTCCTGCAGTGAGCGGAGCGGCTCAGGATGGCCAGTCTTGGTTTGTCAAGAGAGGCAAGAAATCCAGATTTCCTTTGTGTGTGAAAATCTCCTAATTTCAAAGCTGGCACGTGAACACTGAAGGTCAAGCAGAGCCAGCCGGCACCTCGTGTTCCCTGAGCGGGAGAGCACATCACGTGGGTGCAGGCAAGGAACACTGGTGTGCCTCGGGGCTGAGTCTGGGGCCCAGTGGGGGGTGCTGGGGGGTGGGGGCTCTGGCTTTCTGATTGAGCCAGTTGCTGACGGGGACTTGGAGAGGGGCGCCAACATCCTGCTCCCTCCCGTCCCCACTCCTGCCCCTGTGTGTTTCCTTTCAGAGGCCCCTCGGTTTGAGTCCATCATGGAGGATGTGGAGGTGGGGGCCGGGGAAACCGCTCGCTTTGCTGTGGTGGTTGAGGGGAAACCACTGCCAGACATCATGTGGTACAAGGTACAAGCCTGGGGCTGGCCGGGAGCCTGGGCGAGGGGTCCTGGGAGGCCTTAGATAGAGAGCCTGGGCAGAGCTGTGGTTAGGAGGAGCACGTGGGACCCAGGGGCCTGTCTGGCTGGGGGTACTGGGCTGTCAGTGCAGAAGCCACTGCCCTGAGGTAGAGGTGAAGCTGGGTCTCTGGCATGGAGGTGAAGCTGGGTCCCAGGTGGAGGTGAGGCCAGGCCTGGGCTGGAGGTGACAGCCAACTCTGCAGGACGAGATGCTGCTGGCCGAGAGCAGCCACGTGAGCTTCGTGTACGAGGAGAACGAGTGCTCCTTGGTGGTGCTGAGCACAGGGGCCCAGGATGGAGGCGTCTACACCTGCATAGCCCAGAACCTGGCAGGCGAGGTCTCCTGCAAAGCAGAGCTGGCTGTGCATTCAGGTGGGCTGCAGTTCAAGGGGAGAAGGGCAGAGTGCCCACCCCCAGAAATCTGATGTGAGCCCCACCCTGCCCAGGAAGCACCTGGCCCTGGACTCCCAACTACCGCACCCTCCAGCCCAGGGCCCCCGCCTCAGGCCCCGACATTCTTGCACCTCTTCTGTCTCTGGCATCTGCCTGCCTGTCCCAGTCTCTGCCTTGCTCCCTTTCCTGCCCTCCCCTCCTAACACCAGGACATCTGTGCCCCAGCTCAGACAGCTATGGAAGTCGAGGGGGTCAGGGAAGACGAGGAGCATCGAGGAAGGAGACTGAGCGACTTCTATGACATCCACCAGGAGATTGGCAGGTGTGGGGATAGGAGTGGAGCCAGTGTCGGGGTTCAAGAGAGGCTGCTGGGTCTGAGGGCTAGGAAGGGGTAGAGGGCTGCAGTGATGACTGAGCCCTGTCTTCCTCCCTGTGCGACCCAGGGGTGCCTTCTCCTACCTGCGGCGCGTGGTGGAACGGAGCTCCAACCTGGAGTTTGCAGCCAAGTTCATCCCCAGCCAGGCCAAGCCAAAGGCATCAGCATGGCGGGAGGCCCGGCTGCTGGCCCGGCTCCAGCACGACTGTGTCCTCTACTTCCATGAGGCCTTCGAGAGGCGCCGGGGACTGGTCATTGTCACGGAGCTGTATCCTGGGATAGGCTAGGGGGCGGTGGGGAGAACCCATGCCTAAATGGTTCTTGTAACAGCCAATTTGCAACGTGTTTTACTGTTAACAAAGTGGTCCCGTTGACAATTGGGATTTTTAGCCCACTTTTTAGCTTAAACTTATATAACATTTAATTTGTGCCTGTCAGTGCTCTAAGAGTTTTATAAATATTAACCTATTTAATCCTCATATATACATACCTCATGGAATTTTATTATCCCCGTCTTACAGATGATGAAACAGGCACTGAGAGGTTAAATAATTTGCCTGAGGTCACAGAGCTGACAAATGCATAGGCTTTTTAATCACAAAATGCAGTACAGTATATCTGCACATTTGAATTGACCACATTTCAGATGAGCGTCAATACTTGGCTTTGCATGGGAGGCTGGTTTCGTAAATGACAGATTTTACCTTTGCATGAAGCTAGGGTTCAACAAAGACCCACTGAGGAAAGGATGCCTCCCTGGGCGGTCAGCTCGTCACTCCTGGGAGCAGGATACATCAGCCTCCCAGTCTGCACTGTTTGAATCCAAACCTCAGCAAAATGACAAATTATTCCATGTCATGTACCTTCTGGGTCATTCTCAAAAAGTTCCATCCATAGTCGACAAAAAGTTCTGCTGTAATTTGATCCCTAGAAATAGTTCTTAAAGTAGAAAGGAGAGGAAACGTGACTCCCATTTTACTTCTGAGAAAATGCAGGCTCAGAGAGGTTAAGTACATTGCCTGAGATCCCACAGGGAGTGTGCATTCAAGCGAGGTTGTCCCATCATCTGCAGACCCAGATGACGGAAGAAGAGTGAGGACAGTCTCTGAGTGGTATCAGGTGTGCTCTAAGAGGAAGGGGAAGGCTGTGCTGAGCTGGGACCTGCCCTGGGCTCTGGGGGTGGGCCAGGCCGCCGGTGCTGGGCACTGTTCTCCTTGACCCAGGATGTAGCTGCACAGAGGAGCTGCTGGAGCGAATGGCCAGGAAACCCACCGTGTGTGAGTCTGAGGTGAGGGCAGTGGGTGGCAGGGGGCTCTGAGAACTGACAGATGGGTCCTGGGCATGCCATCTGTGGCCACGAGAAGCTTGGGTAGTAGTGGAGAACATGGTTAGGCAGGCAGCAGAGCCCCCTGCCTGTGACACTTGCACTGGGACTTGCACTGTCCTCTCTAAGTCTCAGCAAACCCACCCCAGCCCCTAACTGTTGTTTCCCAGTCTTCCTCACATAAATGTCCCCAAACATTTCTCCCAGAAGGGCCCCGTCTTAGAGTCTATTGATCTCACTGCAGTCCTGCCATGTAGAGATGTGCACTGCACAACTCTATGTATTACAATGTAAATGACTCCTTCCTGTGCTTGTGCTGTGCCCAACCTGTGCACATAGCAGCCCTGAATCTTGGCAACCCCCATCACAAGCCATCTGAAAGCTACTCCCCAGGCATGGCCTGAACTCTTGCCATAACCCTGGAGGTGATCAAACATAGTACCCCACCCTACCCCACCGACTCTGGGCCCCCTGTTTCCACAGATCCGGGTCTATATGCAGCAGGTACTAGAGGGAATACGCTACCTGCACCAGAGCCATGTGCTGCACCTCGATGTCAAGGTGAGGTGGGGGGTAGAGAGCAGGAAGCCAGAAAATGGGGTGCCCTATCTCAAATCAGCTCCCACACTTTGCCTTGTGTCTTTCAGCCCGAGAACCTGCTGGTATGGGATGGTGCAGAGGGTGAAGAGCAGGTGCGGATCTGCGACTTTGGGAATGCCCAGGAACTGATTCCAGGAGAGCCTCAGTACTGCCAATATGGCACACCTGAGTTTGTGGCACCTGAGATTGTCAACCAGAGCCCTGTGTCGGGAGTCACTGACATCTGGTAAGACTGCCATGCTGGGCTGCTGGGGGGGCCAGGGCAGCTGCCCTCAGTGCCATGCTGGGCCCTGGCTCACTGGCAGAGAGGAGCTTTATGAAGCCTGGATTCCTCCTCTGATGGGTGGCTGGTGGCATTGCTTGCAGGGTCTCCTGCCCGTGTTACTCCCCACCCCTCATCAGTCAGGGCTGACCCCATCCCTTGGGGCCTCAGCCTTGTCAGTCCTTGGCCCATGGCTCCCTGGGGGCCTAGGCCTTCTTCTCAGCAGCCACTGTACCTTCCACAGTAAGGCAGGCCTGGTCCTCTTCGTCCCTGGTCCCCTTGGTCCCTGGACTTTTCTGGGCTTCCTGGGCCAGCCCTGCTGTGACTCTTGACTTCTCCAGGCATTTCTGCAACTCCAGGTTCAGGTTCTCCCTGAAGGAGGCACTCCTATGCCCGTTTGTCCACGGCAGTGTTCCCAGGGAGGACATGTCTCACTCACTAACGGTAGCAGAGAACTGCTGCCTTCCAGGGCAAGATGGGCTGTCCTCTTACCCATCCACTCTCCTTTCCCTGCAGGCCCGTGGGCGTCGTTGCCTTCCTCTGGTAAGGACCCCTGCAGTCTCCTACCCGTCTCCTGGCAGACCTACCCCCAACATTTGCAGGGCTGCAGCCCACCCCCTTCTCTTCCACACCCCTGCTCCCTCCTGCTCTGTAAGAGGCCTCGTGTGCATGAAGGTGGACACCCTGGTCTGTATGTCCCCCGTGCCCCTCTGTAAGAGGTGGGCACAGAGGATGGAGAGAGGCCAGTGCAGGCTCAGTGCCGTTTAGGTGTGGAACTACTTGGTCCTAACCATCCAGAACATGGACGAGAAGGAGGCAGAGCTCAGGCTCCGGTGAGATGTCCCCTTAGCACAGACCCCTCACCTTATGGAGAGGCCACACTGGAGGAGAGACAGAACAGGTCGTCTAAGGCTGCGGTCCCCAACCCTGGGGCTGCAGGCCGGTACCAGTCCATGGCCTGTTAGAAACCAGGCCACACAGCAGGAGGTGAACTGCAGAGGGCGCAAAGCTTCACCTGTGTTTACAGCCACACCCCATCGCTCGCATCACCGCCTGAGCTCCGCCTCTGTCAGATCAGCGGCAGCACTAGATTCTCATAGGAGCACAAACCCTACTGTAAATTGCGCCTGCGAGGGATCTAGGTTGTGCACTTCTTATGAGAATCTAAGGCGCCCTGGTCCATGGAAAATTTGTCTTCTATGAAACTGGTCCCTGATGCCAAAAGGGCTGGGGACCACTGCTCTAAAGCATGGGCAACCAGGCCCCAAGGCAGTACTGCCTCCCTGACCATGCCAGACAGGCAGGAGTTTGCAAGCCTTGGCTTCTTGCCCAGATTCGCCCAGCCTCTGCCATCTCCAAACCCTGGAGCCTCCACCTGTCCCTGGCCCTGGGCCCAGCCCTGTGCCCCCACTGGCATCCCATTTCATCCCTGCCTCAGCCCTAAGGCCCTGCCCGCCCCCTCACGACAGCCCTCTCTACCCCTGCAGTCTGACAGGAATCTCCCCGTTTGTTGGGGAAAATGATCGGACAACATTGATGAACATCCGAAACTACAATGTGGCCTTTGAGGAGACCACGTTCCTGAGCCTGAGCAGGGAGGCCCGGGGCTTCCTCATCAAAGTGCTGGTGCAGGACCAGCTGTGAGTACCAGGCCCTGGGGAGTCCCCTACCTGCAGGGTCACCCTCATGCCACCCACCTATTCCTACCAAGCCTCCGTCCTTAGACATGCAAGCCCCCACTACTTAAGGGCCCTGTTTTCTCAAACATTTGTTGACTCACTGAATGATACAAATTCCATCTTAATGTTTGTTCCTTTACAGGAGACCTACCGCAGAGGAGACCCTAGAACATCCTTGGTTCAAAGTGAGTCTAGTCCTGCAAAGTGGTGGTAAAAGAGGTGGAAGGAGAGAGAACATTACTAACAGCTCCATTTATTTGAGTACCTACTATGTACAGTAACTATGTTAGGCATTTCATACATATATGACCTATTAGCCACACAATAGCTCTTCTGCAAAGGAAGGTATTATTACTTCTATTTTGTTGACAAGGAAATTGAGGCTCAAATCATGGATCAAGGTGGGGTATCATGGACTCCAAGGCAGAGGTCTGGATCCCCCCATCTCGGGGGTCCTTACTGGGGTTCTCACTGGCATTTGAGACCAGACCCTGGTCTTCCTCACTTGTATGTGCCCACCTCTGTCCTGCACGGGTCCTACGCTGGGGTTGGCAGGTAGCCTGGCTGGTTCAGCCCCTCTATTACGAGCCCCGTGTGGGCAGGTTCTCATTCATTCATCTTCAAACTCCAGCGCCTCAGAGCACAGTGCCAGGCATAGGGGAGGGGAGTTCAGCAAATGAGTCCAGAAAGAGCACCTGAGTAAGCAAGCTGTTCACTGAGGGTTGTGCTGGGTCAACAGAAGGCTGAGGTCATTCTGGTGTCAGTCCTTGAAGAAGCTTCTTCTCTTAGACCAGAAACGAGCTCTGGAAGAGAGCACCTGGGTGGGTGGCTGCGGGAAGCATCTCTCTGGATCTGGACCACCAAGGCTTCCGATGTTGGGGTGCTGCTGACCTTCCTTAGAGACACATGGGAGCTGGGGAGCCAGGGCCCAGGCCTCCCAGGGCAGCTGGTATACCAGGACAGGGCCTTGAGCCCTGGTATAGGCTCAGAAGTGCCCCCTGGGAGCCACCAGTTTTCCGCCTCTCCCCTTAGGCTCAGAGGATTTGTGTACAGGTGTGCACCTTGGCTGTGGAAGTTGTCCTGACAGACCCAAGGAGAAGGGGACCCCCAGGAGCCTAGACTCAGTGCTGCTTGGTCCACTGTCCCCTCTGTGGAGTTTGTCTCTCCATTGCCAAACCTTGAGGGTCGAGGCTGACAGAGAGCTGTCCCTCAGGCCCTCTTTCCTACGTTTGCAGACTCAGGCAAAGGGCGCAGAGGTGAGCACAGATCACCTAAAGCTGTTTCTGTCTCGGCGGAGGTGGCAGGTGAGTTTGGGCCCTGCCTCTGTCCTTTCTACCTTCTCATTCTCTAACCCTGCCTTTTTTCTGTTGTCTGCCCTCACCTCCTGCTCGCCCATCTTCCTATTTCCTTCCTGTCCGCACCCTCTGCCCACTTAGGCCCTCTTCCCCAGGGCTGAAGGGGGCCTGGGTGGGTCAATCCTGCCCTGAGAGTCCCCCAGGCCTGACTCTAGTACCCTCTCTCCAGCGCTCCCAGATCAGCTACAAATGCCACCTGGTGCTGCGCCCCATCCCCGAGCTGCTGCGTGCCCCTCCGGAGCGGGTGTGGGTGACCATGCCCAGAAGACCACCCCCCAGCGGGGGGCTCTCATCCTCCTCCGATTCTGAAGAGGAAGAGCTTGAAGAGCTGCCCTCAGTGCCCCGCCCCCTGCAGCCCGAGTTCTCTGGCTCCCGGGTGTCCCTCACCGACATTCCCACTGAGGATGAGGCCCTGGGGACCCCAGAGGCTAGGGCTTCCACCCCCATGGACTGGCAAGAACAGGGAAGGGTTCCCTCGCAGGATCAGGAGGCTCCCAGCCCTCAGGCCCTCCCCTCCCCAGGCCAGGAGCCCCCAGCTGGGCCCAGCCCCAGGCGGGGAGAGCTCCGCAGAGGCAGCTCTGCCGAGAGCGCCCTGCCCCGGGCCGGGCCGCGGGAGCCGGGCCGGGGCCTGCACAAGGCAGCGTCTGTGGAGCTGCCGCAGCGCCGGAGCCCCAGCCCGGGGGCCACGCGCCTGGCCCGGGGAGGCCTGGGTGAGGGTGAGTACGCCCAGAGGCTGCAGGCCCTGCGCCAGCGGCTGCTGCGGGGAGGCCCTGAGGATGGCAAGGTCAGCGGCCTCAGGGGCCCCCTGCTGGAGAGCCTGGGGGGCCGTGCCCGGGACCCCCGGATGGCACGAGCTGCCTCCAGTGAGGCAGCGCCCCACCACCAGCCCCCACCCGAGACTCGAGGCCTGCAAAAGAGCAGCAGCTTCTCACAGGGTGAGGCGGAGCCCCGGGGCCGGCACCGCCGCGCTGGGGCGCCCCTTGAGATCCCGGTGGCCAGGCTTGGGGCCCGCAAGCTACAGGAGTCTCCCTCCCTGTCTGCCCTCAGTGAGGCCCAGCCGTCCAGCCCTGTGCGGCGCAGCGCCCCCAAACCCAGTACTCCCAAGTCTGTGGAACCCTCTGCCACCACACCCAGTGATGCTCCGCAGCCCCCGGCACCCCAGCCTGCCCAAGACAAGGCCCCAGAACCCACACCAGAGCAAGGCCGAGCCTCCAAGCCCGCACAGCCCCCCGTGGCCCTGCAAACCCCAGCGCTGCCCCTCACACCCTATGCCCAGATTATGCAGTCGCTTCAGCTGTCGGGCCACACCCAGGGCGCCCAGCAGGGCCCTGCTGCGCCTCCGTCAGAGCCCAAGCCCCACGCAGCTGTGTTCGCCAGGGTGGCCTCGCCCCCTCTGGGAGCCCCCGAGAAGCGCGTGCCCTCAGCGGCGGCTCCCCCAGTGCTAGCTGAGAAAGCCCGGGTCCCCACGGTGCCCGCCAGGCCGGGCAGCAGCCTCAGCAGCAGCATCGAGAACCTGGAGTCTGAGGCCCTGTTTGAGGCCAAATTCAAGCGCAGCCGCCAGTCGCCCCTGTCGCGGGGGCTGCGGCTGCTGAGCCGCTCTCGCTCGGAGGAGCGCGGCCCCTTCCGCGGGGCTACGGAGGAGGACGGCATGTACCGGCCCAGCCCGGCGGGGACCCCGCTGGAGCTGGTGCGACGGCCCGAGCGCTCGCGCTCTGTGCAGGACCTCAGGGCAGTCGGGGAGCCCGGCCTTGTCCGCCGCCTCTCGCTGTCGCTGTCCCAGCGGCTGCGGCGGACCCCGCCCGCGCAGCGGCACCCAGCCTGGGAGGCCCGCGGCGGGGACGGGGAGAGCTCGGAGGGCGGGAGCTCAGCGCGGGCCTCCCCGGTGCTGACGGTGCGCAGGCGGCTCAGCTCCACGCTGGAGCGGCTGTCCAGCCGGTTGCAGCGCAGCGGCAGCAGCGAGGACTCGGGGAGTGGGTCGGGTCGCAGCACGCCCCTGTTCGGACGGCTGCGCAGGGCCACGTCGGAAGGCGAGAGTCTGCGGCGCCTCGACATCCCGCACAACCAGCTGGCCGCACAGGCGGGCGCCACCACGCCTTCCGCCGAGTCTCTGGGCTCTGAGGCCAGCGGCACCTCCGGCTCCTCAGGTGAGGAGGGGCAGGGGGCAGGTGCAGAGTGTGGACGAGGGTGGGTGCGCTGGAGAGAGGCTGCGGGAGGAGCAGAGGGCAGGGGACATCACCAGAGAGGTCGTGCTGGAGGCCCTGAGGGTGGAGCTAGACGGTTTTTCCACGTGTGGCCTGAGGCTGCAGCGGGGAGGGCTCTTGCTGGGACCCGCTGCAGGTGAGTGTTCACCCGCCTGGGCTTCACAGCTCCAGGGGAAAGCCGAAGCCGGCTACGCTGGGGCCTCTCTCGGCTGCGGAAGGACAAGGGGTTATCACAACCAAACCTCTCTGCCAGCGTCCAGGAGGACTTGGGTCACCAGTATGTGCGCAGTGAGTCAGGTAATAAGAGGGCTGCGGGGTGAGTACCTCCCCATTCCCTGCCCTCCACCCCTGGGAGGCTATTGCGGGTGGGAGCTGGGCCCCCTAGCCTGGGCAGGGTGCAAGGGGCCCAGTCAGGAAAGCAATAATAGTAGCCTAATAGTAGCAGCAGCTGCCATTCATTAGCAAAGCCTAGTGTTCTAGTAAGCGCTTCACAAGCCTGCCTCATTCAACACTGCAACATTGGGAACTGTTATTATCATCATCTCTATTTTACAAGTGAGGAAACAGGCTTAGTGATGCTAAGGATCTTGTCCAAGTCTCAGGGCTAGGAAGTGCAGCAGCCAGAGTTGGACTGTGTGACCTTCTGCAGCCGGGTCCCAGAAGCAGCTTCGGGACACCACACTTACTCCTTTATACGGCTGGCCTCCTCTCTCCTGGGGGACCCCAGAAGGTTTTCCGTAGTTGGCTGTAGCACTATAGGGCTACCCTGCTCCACGCCCTCTTCAGATGGGTGTGTGCCCAAAGCCTCTCACTGTCTCTTTGGCCTAGAGGACCACAATCTAGATTGTGCCCCCAAGTCTCCATCTTTCTACAGCTGTGAACCCAACTGCCCCTCCCTGACTCCTTTGCCCCCACAAAAGGCACTTCTGCACAGAAAAGCAGCCTTCAGGGCTCTTTGCCGGGGGGAAGTGGGCTGGGGCTGTGCCCAGTTCAGTTTCTCTGCCCAAGCATCCTAGGGCTGCCGAGAGGAAGGCATTCTCTACCTAGGGTCACCCCATCCCCCACCTGAGAAGGGGCATTACTCAAGGACTACAAGAAAGGCTTTGGGAAGCTGGGCTTTCCAGACTGTTGTGCAGGAAAGGAGACAGCCACCAAGCCAGGCTGTGTGCAGGGTCTTTATAAGCCCCCGGTTCTGTTCTTTCCCGTTTCCTGGTAAAACTCCTCAGAATGGTTTCAGCCCTGCCTCAGCTGGGCTTGAAGGGATTGTGTCCTGTCTTGGCCAGGGCCGTGGGGGCTGCAGTGAGTGAAGAGGAGGGAGGAAAGGCCAGCTGGTGGGGGAGGGTGGAGAAGGAGGGAAAGGAAAGAGTCAGCAGAGAGGACCGGGGACAGCTGATCCCTTCCCACCTGGGGCCTCCCTCCCACTCCATTTTGCTTGTGCAGCTGATTTCCTGCCAGGGCAGTGTCCCCTGACCTCATGGCTCTGCTCTCTGCAGGAAGAAGGCTGTCCCAGTCTGCTCTACCAACTAGGACTGGGCCCTGGGGAATGGGGGTGGGGCTGGCAGAGCTGGGCCCAGGTCACCTTTCACCTCTCCTCTGGGCCTCCCTCTCGCTCCCCCATACCCAATCCCCTCACTTGGCCTGGAGGCAACATTGAAACTTCACACCTGTGTTGTTGGAGCCTCCATGTGGGACCCCTCCTTGGGAAACAGTGGAGTTCAGTGGGAAGGGGGCACACGCTGCTGTCCTGATCATCCTTTCCCATCCAGCTCATCCCCACTCTCAGTCCCTCCTGGTTCAGACAGGCAGCAGCTGGGGCTCCCAGGAGTCCTCAGCTCTCCTTGTCCGGGTGCAGACCCCATACACACACCCCTGCCCAAGTCTCCCCATCCCTGGCCAGACTGGAATTCTTCTAGGGAGACATTTCCAGGGATCACAAGCTAAAATCCTCAGGGCACTAAGGAGCCACAGGCTGGCTACACTGGAGCAAAGACCCCCCAGTCTCATCCCTGGCCCCACCATGGGCGCAGTCACCAGCCAGCTGTGAAGGCAGCTTCTCTGCTTTGCTGAAACAGCCTCTTTCTCTGGGGGTCTGCTCCTGGCTTCTCTGTGGGGCATATTAAAGAGATAATAACAACAAGAAAAGCGAATATGTATGGGTAATTACTGTATGCTAGACACATGCTAAGCATTTTACATGCCTCTTAATTATTACAGCAATCCTCTGAGCTTGGTATTATTATTTTCCTCAATTTACAGATAAGAAATAGAGCATCTAAGAGGGTAAATGACTTGTTCACAGTTGTACAGATACTGTCTCTTGCCCCTTCAAAAGTGCACACCACTTAGTTGACCTGAAGGAGTATGTAGAAGGCCTAGGACCCTGTCCCAGGACCACAGGTGGGAAGAGGGACAAGGAGGCTGACACACTTCTAGGTCTGCCCACAGTTTCCTAGATGTCAGATCTTTTAAGACTGCACGTTCTGATTGAACGTTCTACGTTCAATCCCATCTTGGCTCAGGTCACTAACTCATCTCACCTCTCTTCTCACTTGCCGTGTTGTGCCCCAGAGGGAGTGGGTATTGCAGGATCTTAACCATTATTATTTTTCAATATTTTTTTTACTTTTATTTTTTGAGACAGGATCTTGCTCTCTTGCCTGGGCTAGAGTACAGTGACATCATCATAGCTCACTACAGTCTCCAACTCCTGGCTTCACACGATCCTCCTGCCTCAGCCCCCCGAGTAGCTGGAATAACAGTGGGCATGCACCATCATGCCTGGATAATTCTTTTATTTTTATTCATTCATTCATTCATTCATTCATTCATTCATTCATTTATTTTTGAAACAAGGCCTCACTCAGTCACCCAGGCTAGAGTGCAGTGGTGTCATCATAGCTCACTGCAACCTCAAACTCTTGGGCTCAAGTGATCCTCCTGCCTCATCTTCCTGAGTAGCTAGGACTATAGGCTTGCAACATCATGCCTAGCTAATTTTTCTATTTTTTATAGAGACAGGGTCTCACTATGTTGCTGGCTGGTATCAAACTCCTGGTCTCAAGTGATCCTTCCGCCTCAGCTTCCCAAAGTACTAGGCTAGGATTACAGGTGTGAGCCACCGCGCCCAGCCTATTTGTTTTATTTAACAAATGCTTATAGAGCACTTACTTAGTACCAGGCTCAGCTCTAAATGATTTATAAAAATGAGATAGGTAGCATCGTCAATAATCAGTGCAAGGAAAAGGAAGTTCAAAACACAGTGAGGGCCTGGGGAAGGCGACGCTCATCTCAAAGAACATTCTCGAAGGCATAGCATGGGGTTCTGCTTCCCACAGCTGGCTGGGAAGAGACAACTTTGCACTCTGCTCCCTGCTGGCTGCCAGTGCTCACATCCCCCCCTCCCTCAGCGGTAAGTGGGCCAGGGTCCCTGCAGACAGATGGCTGTCTCTGCTCTCCCTCCAGACTTCCCCCCAGTCTTCCACATCAAACTCAAGGACCAGGTGCTGCTGGAGGGGGAGGCAGCCACCCTGCTCTGCCTGCCAGCGGCCTGCCCTGCACCGCACATCTCTTGGATGAAAGGTAAGGAGATTAGGTCTCCCGTGGGCGGTGGGAAGTGGGAGGCAGCAAGTGTCCCCAAGCCCAGGAGATGGGACAGACTAGGCCTTGGGGCAAGCATGGTTTGGGGATGCTGGAGTAGGAAGCTAGTGAGGGCAGCCTGGACATGTGCTGCCTCACTCAGCAGCTGCTCCTGCTCTTCCCCGCTCCCAGACAAGAAGTCCCTGCGGTCAGAGCCCTCGGTGATCATCGTGTCCTGCAAAGATGGGCGGCAGCTGCTGAGCATCCCCCGGGCGGGCAAGCGGCACGCCGGGCTCTATGAATGTTCAGCTACCAATGTCCTAGGCAGCATCACCAGTTCCTGTACCGTGGCTGTGGCCCGTGAGCCTGTGGCAGGGCCCAGGGGGGTAGAGATGGGGATGGGGGCAGGGCGTGATGGGCTCTTAGCTGGGGCATAGGGTCTCACTGGGACTCCCCACCTCTTGCCAGGAGTCCCAGGAAAGCTAGCTCCTCCCGAGGTGCCCCAGACCTACCAGGACACGGCACTGGTGCTGTGGAAGCCGGGAGACAGCCGGGCGCCTTGCACGTACACGCTGGAGCGGCGGGTGGATGGTGAGGGACAGGACAGACGGAGGGGGGAGGGTAGCAGGTGGAAGGTAGAGGAGCCTGGGAAGGCAAGTTCCCTCCCTGGACAGAGGGCCTCCCTGGGCTCTTCACAGAGAGCACTGGGAGCTTGGGCCAACCCTTCTGTGGCCTCAGCGCCCCCTACCATGTGCCTACAGGGGAATCCGTCTGGCACCCTGTGAGCTCAGGCATCCCTGACTGCTACTACAATGTGACCCACCTGCCAATTGGTGTGACCGTGAGGTTCCGTGTGGCCTGTGCCAACCGTGCTGGGCAGGGGCCCTTCAGCAACCCTTCTGAGAAGGTCCTTGTCAGGGGCACTCAAGGTTGGTGGGATGTGGGGGTGGTGGAAGAAGGAAGGGGACCTTGAGCCCAGGGTCCACTACACCCTTGGAGCACCACGGCTTTGCCCCAGGGCAGCATGGTGATGATTTTCTTTGTCTCTTAGATTCTTCAGCTTTGCCATCTGCTGCTCACCAAGAGGTCCCTGTTACCTCAGGGCCAGCCAGGGCCCCACCTCCTGACTCTCCTACCTCACCGGCCCTGCCCCCAGCTCCTGCTCCCCCAGCGCCCCCATTGGTCACTCTCAGCCCCTCATCGCCCCCCACATCCCCCAGCCAGGCCTTGTCCTCTCTCAAGGCTGTGGGTCCACCTCCCCAAACCCCTCCACGAAAGCACAGGGGCCTGCAGGCTGCCCGGCAAGCAGAGCCCACCCTACCCAGTGTCCAGGTCACCCCAAATGAGCCCAAGTCTTTTGTCCCTGACACTGGGACCCCAACCCCAGCCTCCACCCCTCAAGAGGTTAAACCAGCGCCTTCCTCTACTCCCCTGTATATGGTGACTTCCTTCGTGTCTGCCCCACCTGCCCCCGAGCCCCCAGCCCCCGAGCCCCCTCCCGAGCCCACCAAGGTGACTGTGCGGAGCCTCAGCCCAGCCCGGGAGGTAGTCAGTGCCCCTGGGAGCAGTCCCCGCAGCTCGCCCGGGCCAGAGAGTACCACTCTTCGACAGGGTCCCCCTCAGAAACCCTACACCTTCCTGGAGGAGAAGGCCAGGCAAGCAGGGCTGGGGAAGGGAAGGAGGACAGAGGGAGGAGTAGGGTGAACATAGGGACACAGAAGATCAGACTGTCCTGGCTGGGGTTGAGGAAGGCTGAGATCTCGGTCCTTAGAAGTATTGGGTTCACATGTGCCAGGCACTGTACCGAGTGCTTTAGCCATATGAGTTCATTTCATCTGCACAACTCTAAAAGGGAGTTGCATACTGCATTATCCTCATCTGCCCTTTCAAGGATGGGAAAACTGAGGTTAGAGAAGTGATGGGATTTGCCTAAGATATAGAGCCAGTGAGTGGCAGAGCTGGGATTCAAAGCCGTGTTTTGAGGATTGAACTCTGAAGTCTACAGTGGAACTACTGCATTCTTGCCCCCTGCTTTAGCCCTCACTTCGGAAGTGTCCCCTCCTCTTGTCTGAGCCTGTGCTGTCCCCCACAACACTCACAGGGGCCGCTTTGGTGTTGTCCGAGCATGCCGGGAGAATGCCACCGGGCGAACGTTCGTGGCCAAGATCGTGCCCTATGCAGCTGAGGGCAAGCGGCAAGTCCTGCAGGAATATGAAGTGCTGCGGACGCTGCACCATGAGCGGCTCATGTCCCTGCACGAGGCCTACATCACCCCCCGTTACCTTGTGCTCATTGCCGAGAGCTGCGGCAACCGGGAACTCCTCTGTGGGCTCAGCGACAGGTAGCTGGGTGTTGTGGGGAGTGGGGAGTGACTGTTGGGGAGACTGGGCTGGGAGATCACCGCCCCGCCCCTGCCCCTAGGTTCCGGTATTCAGAGGATGACGTAGCCACCTACGTGGCACAGCTGCTACAAGGCCTGGACTACCTCCATGGCCGCCATGTGCTACACCTAGACATCAAGCCGGACAACCTGCTGCTGGCCCCTGACAACACCCTCAAGATCGTGGACTTCGGCAGTGCCCAGCCCTACAACCCTCAGGCCCTGCGGCCCCTTGGCCGCCGCACGGGCACACTGGAGTTCATGGGTGAGAGGACCAGCCAGGGTGGGTGGGGGATGGGAGTACTGCCAGAGGGGCAGCAGCCAGGGCTCACCCCACTCCATCCACATTTGTGCCATTTATTGAGTGCTTATTGTATGCAAGCAATGAACCAAGTCTTTTATGTGGATTTTTTCCAACTGATCTTTACAATAGCCCTGGAGTTTGGTGTAATATTGCCCCCTTTTACAGACGAGGAAATAGAAGCACGCTGAAGTTAAGAATCTATCCAATCAGACAGTTATAAATGGCAGAGTTAGGATTTGATAAAGCTAGAAAGACACAAGAATGAATTATTATTTTATTTAAATATGGAAAACCAGCTACCATTTAGATACCTGCTAAATGCTTGATGGTCACTGTCGCTGTTCCTCAGAGCACTGCACAAGCCACGTTTCCCAGACGAGGCAATGGCGAGCCAGACAGTTGTAGTAAATCGCCTCAGGTCCCATAGAAGGGGCAGGCCTGGGGTTGGAGCCAGCTAGGCTGATTTCAGAGGCTCTTAATCTTGGTGTTGGCACACGCTGGATGGGAGCCCTACCTCGGAGCTGACCCAAGGGAGCCAGTGACCCTGCTTCTCCACTCCCCTGCAGTTCTGGGTACCCCACCATTCAGTGCCTGGGCTAATCCCTCAGGTATCCCACATCTCTCCTGGCTGCTGCCCCCACCTCTGTCCTTCCTGCTGGCCTTCAGGGCCTGCTGCTCTGGTCATTCCCCGTGGTGACCTGGCCTTATCCTGCTCCTCAAGCCCCCAGGGGCCTCCCCTGCCTCTCCCCACTCCCCTGCTACCAGGAAGCTGGGTCAGCTTGGCCTCTGTCTCCTGTCAGCTCCTGAGATGGTGAAGGGAGAACCTATCGGCTCTGCCACGGACATCTGGGGAGCCGGTGTGCTCACCTACATCATGTGAGTGCCCTGGCCCCACCCCACCCCCTCTGCCCACACTGTGAGCTCCGGGACCACCTTCTGCCTACATCGTCTCCCTCGTGTCCTGCCTCCCCAGCACGCACATGCACCCCCAGGTGCAGGGTGGCACCATCCTGTGCACTGTATACCTCAGAACCCCTACACTCATGTCCCCTGGGCCTGGGAGCAGATCTTCAGTCCACATGTGTCAACCATACTGTCGTCCACAACAGGCTCAGTGGACGCTCCCCATTCTATGAGCCAGACCCGCAGGAAACAGAGGCTCGGATTGTAGGGGGCCGCTTTGATGCCTTCCAGCTATACCCCAATACTTCCCAGAGCGCCACCCTCTTCTTGCGAAAGGTCCTCTCAGTACACCCCTGGTGAGTGAGTGTCACCCTGTCAACCCCAAGCACTACCTGCCCTGGCCTTAGACTGCCCTGGCCTAGCCTGTGCCGAAGGTCCCCCAGCTCCTCTCCTGCCCCTGATAATGTATTATATCAGCTACTTCTACTACCTGGCCATGCTACCTACTATTTAAAACCCATAACAGCCCTATGAGAAGCAGAGTCACTGCCTCCATTCCAGAGATTGGGACGCTGAGCCCCAGACTTGCCCCAAATCACATACCTAGGCGTGAATCCAGGACTGGGACGAGGGTCTGTGGGAGGACAGAGCCCTGCCCACTCCAGGAGCCGCCCCTCCAGGCTCATGAGCCCTGGCTTGGCCTGGCAGGAGCCGGCCCTCCCTGCAGGACTGCCTGGCCCACCCCTGGCTGCAGGACGCCTACTTGATGAAGCTGCGCCGCCAGACGCTCACCTTCACCACCAACCGGCTCAAGGAGTTCTTGGGTGAACAGCGGCGGCGCCGGGCAGAGGCCGCCACCCGCCACAAGGTGCTGCTGCGCTCCTACCCTGGTGGCCCCTAGCGGCATGGACCACAACCCAGCCTCAGGCTTTGACTGGGGGTTCCCCATGATGCCGCGGGACATTCCAGGGCCGGCACTGAGCCGGGTGGGCCTGGGGCTTTGGATACCACCACCAGCAACATCTGGCCGGGCTCTTACCTCATGGACCTGCGGGGACAGAGGCCCTGGGGCTTTGGCCTGATGTCACCCCAGGCCGGAGGCACAATGGGAGACTCGTTGGCCAGGCTGGGCAAGGGTGGGAACAGGCAGAAGGGCAAGAAGGGAATAGGGAAGTGAAGAGGAAAAGAAGCCAAGGGATAGGGAGAGGAGACTCTAGGAAGGTTCTAGGGTGGGGGGTGCATCTCAGGGAGAGTGTGGCAGGGTGAGTGTGGCTACTGAGAAGGAAGCGGAAGGAGCCCAGGGTGTCAGGACAGTGGGCTGGGAGTGTCAGCGAAGCAGGGGCAGGACACGGAGACAGTGCCAGGGAGCCAGGGCCAAGACGTGAGTGAGGGCAGTGAGGCGCAGCGAAGGAGAGGAAGAGGCCTTGGGTGGAGGGGGTGGGCCAGCCGCTGCCATCCTGGAGAAGCGCGGAGAGCAGGATCTCCTGGCCCATAAATGCAGCTCTGGGTACTCTATGCTGGCCCGAGGATGTCCCCACCATCTCTCCATGGCCTTTGTCCTTCTTCCCATGCATATTTATTTATTTATTGACTTTTATGAAGTTTTCCCTTCCATTCAATCCCTATTGCCCGTGTTGTCCTGACCATCCCCCCAGCCATCCAGCTGTCTGTGCAGCTGTCTGTCTGTCTGTCACAAGGAAAATAAAAATGGCAAGCAGCAGGACCTGTGTGTGATCTATGGGGAGGGACAATGGAGGAGGGGAGTGAGTCCTAGGACAGGAGCATTCACCCTTCTTTGGGCCAGAGAGAGCTGAGGATTCCTCAACACATTCAGGTGTATACAGCTAGCACCTTGGGACCTTCCGACCCCCTTCCCTGACTCTCCTGGCTCCTCACCTCTCCTTATTCCTATAGGGAAAGGGAGTCTGTGGTCTGCTTCTCCTCCTGCAGTTTCTAGAATGCTGGCAGACCCACTGGATTCCTCCCTCAAGACCAGACTCTGGTAGCTCCCACCTTTTGTCACATGTTCCCTCATCATAACTTGGGGGATGGGCCAGCCCACACCCCAGTACTGGCTCAGTCTTCTTCACTATGCCCAGAAGACAGGCCAGCTGTGGTCCTGACCCCTGGAGCAGAGTGGGTTTCATCCTGGGGGTGGTAAGAGTAGGGGGTGTGAGGAGCTACAGAAGAAACAAGGACAGGCCCACACCCCACACTCTCAGGGTCAGAGCACATGGAGCGCCAGCTAGGAATGCTCTGGTCTGTCGTGTCTGGGATTTTCCTGCGGCTGAGGGACATAGCCTGTATCTTCTTGTCCCCACAGCAAGTTAGGGGGTCTGCTGGGTGCTAAAGCACCCTGACTCTAGCTGCTCCCCTGCAGTGCCACAGAATGGCCACTGGTCCTAGAACTGAGCTGCCTTGCCCTGGCGTTGTGGGGAGAGGGGGAAGCTAGGCCTCCCTACCTTGAAACTCTGTTCTTGGCAAAGTGAAAAGAACAAAGCCTCCAGCAGTGAGCAGAGAGTTGGCACTGGTGTGTTGCTGATTGAGGCTGAGGGCCCCTTGGCTCCAGCTCAAACAGCCCTTTTGCCCAGCCCAGCCCAGCCTCTCTGGCTTCCCAGGACCCCAGGGAAGAGGCAAGCCCCATCATCATAAAATAACAGGATGTTAAAGCCAGCTGGAAGGGAACAGAGAGATGCCTTGCCTACCTGTCATTTTAGCGATGAAGATATACAGTTTGCCTGTGAGAATCTCCAATCCCCTACACACTGCAAGTGTTTTGTATAAAAATGAGGTGTCTGAACTCATATTTTGTTAAGTGGTAAAAATTCCTCTCCCGTCCCCCCTCTGATCTTAAGCTCCCTTCCCATCTCCATTGGAAATGGCATGTGAACTGCTTGTTCCAAACCCGGAGGAGCAAAGGTAATTTATGTCAGCAGAGCTGTGTCAAAATTGCTCTGATCAAAAGGTGACAGTGCCCCACACCTGGGTGAGTGGTTACAATGAATGGAAGCAATGCTACTCCCGGGAGCTCTGGTCTGGGCAGACTGGATTCCAGAGAGGTTAACTGAACCCCTTTGCCCCAGGCAGTTTGATGCCCCTATTTGCCAGTTTATGGCCCCAAAAGGGCCTGGGCAGATGTCAGGTGGGGAGCCAGTATTGGTGCTGATCTCTGGGGACAGTGCAGTCCAGCCAGACCCTACCATTTCCCATCAAGGGGAGTGAGTCATGATGGTGATGGCATGGAGGGCTGCTATTCTCAAAAATCTTTCCTGTCCCCTCGAGGTATATCTCAGTTTACCACCAGGGGGCACAATGTGGAAATGACGACCCTAGACTTTGAGGCAGGGTGGAGCGGAGGCGGGGGTGAGGGAAGAGTCAGGTGCTTCTGGATTGGTTTTGACAGCTACGTGGCCCTGTTGTGATTAGCTGTATGGACCATGTAGTCTGCGGCCACCCTGGGTTTCTTCAGGGACACCCCCACAAACACTCAAACCCCTCTAACTGTCCTGAGGCTGACCTGAGTATAAAGCTGCCCCGGCAGTGAGCTGACTCTCTTGTCAGCTAGGGGCCATGTCTGGTCCTCCCAGGAGTGGGATGGCTACCCCTTGCCCTGGGAGGGGATGGGGCCACGTCCAGCTGTCCAGCTGTCCAGGTGCTGACACACAGCGCACCCCAGAGCCGCTCGGGTTTCCCCCAACCCCCACCCTGGTCTGCACCAGTGGCTGAGCCAGCATCCCAAACATCCTCCGGCTAAATAAGGAGACCACTTGGGTCAGAGGGGCGGGGATGGGGTGCCGGGGGGCTTGGGCAGCCACGCCAAACAAGGCAAGGAGGGGAGAGATGTATAAAACCAAGCACCTGCCCGTCCCCTACCGTGCCATCTGGAAGGGCTCTGTGTCTCCTGCAACCCAGCCAGTCAGCTCAAGTCCGTGTCAACGCCTCCAGGGTGAGTCTGACTCTCAGAGAATCCCCAGACACTCCCACCCCCTGGAATGTTCTGATCAAGTGGGAAAAGGACCGATGGTAAGAGTCTCTGTCACAGACTGGACCCCCATGTTTGCTGTCTGCTCCCCAGATGTCCAAAGCAGCTCCTGCCAAAAAACCAGCGGCTGCGGCTCCACCTCCTGGATGTACCCTGGATATCAATGACCCCCAGGTGCAGAGTGCAGCCATTAGGCCACTCGTATTCAGGCCTCTTACCTGGGCCACAGGTGAGGGGGAGTCCTGGAGCTCTGCAGAAGAAGAGAGCTGCAGAACGCACATTCCTAAATGGGGGTGTGGAGGGCACAGTGCCATGAAAGACAGGAGTCACTGGACTTAGGGGAGAGGGGTTACTGAGTGTGGAAGGGTGGCCGGCAAGAGTGGATCATTTTATCAGGGTAGCAGTTCAGGAGCAGTCCCCTTCCTTACCAACCCCTACGTTTAGGGGTCCGGTGGGCTGAGGGGATGGGCAGGAAACAGTGTGCCCAAGCCCAGCGCTTTGGCGGCCCTGTCGTGGGAACGCTGGGCCCTGCCCCCGCCCGCGGGTAGGTCCCGGAAGGAGCTGCGCGAGAAGGGGCCGCCGCGGGTGCTGGAGCCGCTGAAGGACGTGGTGCCGATTGAGGGCAGCGCTGCCAAGCTGACTTGCCGCATTTCGGCTTTCCCGGACCCGTTCATCCGCTGGAGCAAGGATGGCAAGGAGCTGCGCGATGGGCCCAAGTACCGCTACGTCTTTGAGGACCCCGACGTAGTGGCACTGGTGGTGCGCGGTGGCGAGCTGGCAGACCTGGGCCAGTAGAGCATCAACGTAACCAACCCCTTTGGCCAGTGCTCCGACTCGGCGCGCATCCTGGTAGAAGGTACGCGCGCCCCAGAAGCAGCGCCAAGGCGCAGAACGCCCCACCCTGAGGGCACCCGCAGCCCTGGCTAGCCATAGGGTCCTGGCCGGCGCCGGCGGAGTACGTACGTGCTTCCCTACTTCGGGATCTGGCCCCGCCCAGGCTGAGCAGTCCATTGTGGGCTTAGATCACCTTACGCCAGGGCTCCGAGGTCCCACAAAGAGCCACGGGCAGAGCCAGGGTAAAAGACGGGTTCTCTGGCTCCCAACCCTGGGCAATTTCCACTGCCCAGAGCTGTCTCTGAGGCTCCGCGAGATGTGTGAATATTTTGGGACTTTTACTCGATTTATCTCTTTCGATCCTCTATTCGACCCAGCGACAAAGGAGGAGGGGGATAAGTCACGTTTGACGCTAAGGAGATGAAACCAGAGAGGCTAACGATCTGCCTAACGTCATACTGCGAGTTAAATGCATCTCGTATTTAGGGCTTGATATTAGCTGGGGAGGTGATGCGCTTGCCCTGCCTCATCTCCAGGTCCCTCACTGGGTCGCGTTCCCCTTCCCTTCCTCTAGTCCCCGCGAAGGTTCAAAAGGGACCCGACAACACCAAGGCGCGCAAAGGCACCACAGTGACGCTGACCGCGGAGATCATGGGCGAGCCTGCGCCCGACGTGGGCTGGACCAAGGACGGGGAGGACATCGAGGAGGACGACAGGCGAGGGCCGGGACCTGCGGCAAGGGCAGGGCCTGGGGCTGGAACCTGGGCGGGACTGAGCCCACAAACGCCGCGGGAGTGGGTCGTGGGCGGGGAACTGGGAAGGGCAGAGCTGGCCAAGTAGCCTGGCCCGGTGTGCGGTGTGCGGGTAAACTGACCCGTGGCTCCGCCCTCCCCCTGTGCCTGCTCCCCAGGGTGTTCTTCGAGATGGGCAGCACCACCACGACGCTGACCATTCGCCGGGCCACGCCCGAGGACAGCGGCAAGTACGAGGTGTACGTAGAGAACAGCCTGGGCATGGACCAGAGCTTCGCACGCGTGGACGTGGCCTGAAAAGGACCGTCCGACCTTTCGCCCTGGCCCCAAGCCCGGGGGCGGGTGGGACCGACGACCCTCGTTCCTCTGGCTTAATAAAGTGGCTCTCTCTGACCCTCCGCGTCCATTCTGTTCCGTAGCGGCGCCATTCCCTGTCCCCTGCACCCGCGCGCACACTCATTCCAGACCCGCACACCAAGGTCACAGGACGTCGGAGTCGGAGGGAAGTTTGGAGAGCGCCCAGCCCAGTGCTTCATCCTACAGAAAGCAAGTCTGAGACAGGGTTTCTCTCGCCGTCGGACGCTCATTTCCCAGTCGGAAGCGCCGTGGAGCCTAGCACTCCGCCTTGCCTTCTCTCGCGTGTCTGCAGCCACCGCGCGCCGCAGTTTGCGGCCTGGCCCCGCCCCTTCCAAGCCCCCCGCGTCCCGTCGTCTCCAGTCCCGCTTCTCCCTGCGACCCAGTTAGTTCTCCACTTCGGCTGCTGCTCCCGGGCCCATTCCCCGATAGCTGGGCCCCCAGCCTTAGGCTCCAGCCCTTCTTCTCACTACTCCCGCCCCCTCGATCCCTTGGCTACGCCCTGGGGTTCAACGCCGCTTTCCTTCTCAAAGTTAGAAGCTGGCAGGGAAGGAGGGGGGGAGGGAAGAAGAGAATCTTCAGAACTACAATTCCCAGCAGACCCTGCGAAGAGTTCTCGCGAGTTGCGAGAAGACACGTGCGCGGAAGAAGCGAGCAGTAGCGGGCGGCGGAGCCGGCAGAAAGAGCTAGTGGTAAAGGGAGCTGGAGGGGCGGCAGGAGGGGCAGGGCCCGGCCCCCTACGCGGAGGGCGGGCTCGGAGGACCACGCTAGCTCTCCGCGTGTCCACGCTTGTGTTGGTCCGCAACCCCTGGCAGCTAGAGGCTAGGGTTTATTGGACAGTCAGTGTGTTGTTCCGAGGGTTGGCAATCAATCCTCCGAATCCAGAGATTCGGCACCAGTCATCAGTATTAGCACTCAGGGGGTTGGTGGGTTCAGTGTTTAGGATGCCAAGGGAACCTGTCTTTTGATTCGCGGTCCAACATATAGAGGTTAGTTTTAGGATTCCTGTTCAGCTTATAGAGGGTTTTTGCTAGGATTGGGGTTTCATCAAATGCAGATCAGTGTCAGTTCAATACTTGGGGTTTATGCTTAGCATTGAAGTTAACTATCTGGGGCTCACTCAGGTTTTCAGTTCAATATTCAGGGCTTGCAGCTGGGATACGGGGTTTAAGATCCAGAACAAGGCTGCAACAATTTGGGGATCAGTGAGCTTGAGGTTTTTGTGTTTTGAGGTTCAAGGTCTGAGAAGGGGGTGTTTACCAAGTTTCTGAATTTGCAGAATTTGTTCATGGCCAGAGGGAAGTCTGTTAGAGATCCAATTGTGGGATGTGAATTTCAGAATTTGGGAGGAATCATTGTGAGGTTTGAAGGCCTACTGGAATCTGGGTTGGGATTTGAGATGTGTAGGATTTGTGGATGTTGTATCCAGGGAGGGACTACATTAAACCTTGGGCTAAGTGTTGCTATTTGGAGTTTGGTTGGGGTGTGAGATCTGAGCTTGATTTCTCTGCTGGAATTGAGGTTTAGGTAGCGGTCACCATCATGCTCAAAGCCGTGATCCTGATTGGAGGCCCTCAGAAGGGTGAGGTGCCAGGGGAGTGGGGGGAGGAGGTTGGGCTGGAGTGGTTGGTAGGGTGGAGGCAGAGGAAGACAGGAGGCTGAAATGTTGTCATTTCTCCACTTGCAGGGACTCGCTTCAGGCCTTTGTCTTTTGAGGTGCCCAAACCACTGTTTCCTGTGGCTGGGGTCCCTATGATCCAGCACCATATTGAGGCCTGTGCCCAGGTAATCCCATAGGCTGTCCTCTCTAACCTCACTTCCTGCTCATCTCCTTCAATACCTATCTCCCCCTTTCCCAACCATGATCTCTTCCCACCAGGCATAACTCCAAGACTGTCATTCGCAGATGACACTATGAATGGCGCCCCCTCAAGTTGTGCAGTGCCACTGCCCTGTTGTCTTCCCCTAATCTAGTCTCTCGTCTGTCCTCTTCCTGCTCAGATTTCACTCCTATTTTTAAAATATGGAATGTGAGATCAGACAGGGATCTTAGAAACAATTTAAAGCCATGGCTTTGGGAACCTTAATGAAAACCAAGCACAAGATTCATACCCTGATCACCATGGAGCTCATTTCTTTATTGCTTTTGGTATTGGGATAGGCAAGGTTTTGGTTTGAGTTCAGTCTCTGCCTGCTATGAGGCCTAGTGCAAATTTCATGCCGTCTCTGAACCTGTTTCCTTATCTGTAAAATGGGGGTGATTAGACCTATTTTGTGGGTGGTGAAGCTTAGAAATAATGTTTGTAAAGTGCCTAGTACAATGCAGGCCCTTGATAAGTGGCACCCTTACCTCATATGCTGATCTCAAGCTTAGGCTGACAGATAATAAAAATGGGGGGAATGAATGGATTATAATTTAATACAATTTGGTAGGCAAAATATTTCCTAGAGTGGGTCCCAGTTCAGATGGGTGAGGCTAATAATAAAAGATTGGAAGATCAGGACTAAGACTTCCTCTAACTTCTTCATCATCCAGAGGAGAAAACAGGCCAGAGTGGTAAAGTGAGTGCTCTGGGGCTGTGGTCTCTGGACTTTGTGCCACTACCAAAGATTTTCTCATAATTTCTTCTTATTTGATATTTTTTCTCCCAACCTCTTCTCTTGTTCTCAGGTCCCTGGGATGCAGGAGATTCTGCTTATTGGCTTCTACCAACCAGATGAGCCCCTTACCCAGTTCCTAGAAACTGCCCAACAGGAGTTTAACCTTCCAATCAGGTGTCTGTGCACACATACATGTATGGGGGTAGGGGTGGCCTAGGCCTGTGAGTTCTCAGGAGTGGGTTGAATCAGCATTTGTCAGAATTCACCCTCATATACTAGAAGGATCATTACTTGGGCATCTCTGAATTCTTGAATATATGGATTTTTCTCTGTGGGCTGTGAATAGGAATACTTCTGGGAGCAGGCTGGGGTCAGGTGCCCTGGCTCATGGTATCTGTCTCCTTGGATCTACTGAGCTGGCTCTGGGGTCCCTGGGAACAGGTACCTTCAGGAATTTGCCCCCCTGGGCACAGGGGGCGGTCTCTACCATTTTCGGGACCAGATCCTGGCTGGAGGCCCTGAGGCTTTCTTCGTGCTCAATGCTGATGTCTGCTCCGACTTCCCCTTGAATGCTATGTTGGATGCCCACAGATGCCAGCGTCACCCTTTCTTACTCCTTGGCACCACGGTGAGGGGATTTTGAAGGCATGATCCAGAGAGCTTCCTGGAATGCTGGGCGTCAGGGAGGCAGCAGCAGCCCTGGGGGTTGGAGAGGGAGCTGGCATCAGGAGATGTACTGCTGCAGCAGGAATGGAGGCGTCAGTGGAGACCCCGAGCCCTCTGGCTGTTCAGAAGTAGGGAGGGGGAGGGCAGCTGTCAGTTCTCACCCTTGCTGAAGGCCTGTCAGTGGCGGAGCTGCGTGCCAGGTGCTACAGGGGAGAGAAAAAAGAAAGAGAAAACAGACCTGGTGGCCCCGCAGCAGGCAGGTCACGGTCTCGGGTGTGTCTGTCTTTCAGGCTAACAGGACTCAGTCCCTTAACTACGGCTGCATCGTTGAGAATCCACAGACACACGAGGTGAGAGCAGAGAGGAGCTGGGTGGGTGCCCACTCTGTGTGTCACCCCAACTCGATATGGCTAGAGATGCTGGAATGCTGTAGGGCGGAGCTCCCAGCCATCTTATATCGGCCGGGCTCAGTGGTTGACGCCTGTAATCCTAGCACTCTGGGAGGCCGAGGTGGGCAGATTGCTTGAGGTCAGGAGTTCGAAACCAGCCTGAGCAAGAGTGAGACCCCATCTCTACTATAAATAGAAAGAAATTAATTGGCCAATATATATAGAAAAACTTAGCCAGGCATGGTGGCGCATGCCTGTAGTCCCAACTACTCGGGAAGCTGAGGCAGGAGGATTGCTTGAGCCCAGGAGTTTGAGGTTGCTGTGAGCTAGGCTGACGCCACGGCACTCACTCTAGCCTGGGCAACAAAGCAAGACTCTGTCTCAAAAAAAAAAAAAAAATCATCTTATATCCCTTTGAGAGAAATCGGCTAGGGGAAAGGGGTCACAGTTCATTTCCATGGGTGTGGTGTACAAGGTGCTGTGGGAACATAAAAGGAGGGGCCAACCCAGCCTTGCCTGATTTGTTTAGATGAAGAATGGAAAAGGAAGGCATTGCAGGCAGAGGGAACAGCATGTGCAAAGGCACAGAGGCAGGAAATGGCATAATTGCCTCCACATTTATGAAGCGGGGGCTTAATAGGCAGGAGGAGGTCTTAACCCTGTTTGTGAAACCCCCTGCCCTGAACCTAATTGACTGTTACACACCCCTTTTATTTCTTCATCCTTTAATTTCAAACATATAAACACACATGCAGACACATACATAGTTTGTGCCAGACACCAGGTAGGTACGAGAGAAACACAGCCAAAAAGGTGCAGTCCCCACCTCTCAGGCCCCTCAGTCTAGTGGGAGAGACAAGTCGAAGCCAACCTTTGCAAATGACACAGTGTCAAGGGTGAGGTGTGGCCACAGGCCAGGGGTGCCCAAAGGCATGAATAGCTAACTCTGAGGCCGGCAAGGGAAGACTCACAGAGAGAGTGACAGTGTCACCTGGGTTTGGAAACGTGTGATTTCCAGTTGAAGAGATGGGAAAGGGCATTCCAGGCGCAGGCGTGCAGCAATGGCACGCGGTTGTATGCTGGGGGTAGGGAGGGTCGGCAGGGAAAAGCGTGGAGTTTGGACTTAGCTGAAGGTGGATCAGGAGACGGCAGTTGTTGCAGGGTTTGAAGCCAGCAGTGGCAGAACGTGCACTGCATTTTAGGAAGACTACCCTGGCAGCAACAGAGAGGGGCAGGGAGGGCCTGGAGATCAGGGCATCTCAGGGGACTGTGGCGGTCCTCTCCTCCTCCACTGAACCCAGCTCGCTCTGTCCTCAGGTCCTGCACTATGTGGAGAAACCCAGCACGTTTATCAGTGACATCATCAACTGTGGCATCTACCTCTTCTCCCCGGAAGCCCTGAAGCCTCTTCGAGATGTCTTCCAGCGCAATCAGCAGGATAGGCAACTGTGAGGCAGGCCCCATGGCCCCGTGACCCCAAGTACTCCCAGTCCCGGACCTGACACACACACCAGTCTCTGCAGGCTCCATCTCAACCTGCTCACCTTCCTCCTCCCTCCTCCCTTCTCCACCTGTCATCTCCAGCTGACTTCTGAGCCCCTCCCCTTCTAACCTCATTCTGTCCCTCTTCCTTATCCATCCCAGTTCCTCCTCTGTCACTGCCTGCCCACTCCCCTTCTGGTCCATTTCTCTCAAGCCCTGAGTGTCCCAGAGACGTCTTTCAGAACAGACAGCAACACACAGTTGGGTGCACACACGCTCAGTGCAGACACACACGCGTGCACACACACTTACTCTCAGGCCGAGGCTCCCCTGGGAATGTAGCACCCAGAACCCCGCTCACCACGGTCTCGGGTGGCCCTCCTAGGCCTGAAAGCTGTTCCCTTCCAGGGACCTTTGCTTTTGCTCCTCCCCTGCCCATCGCCCCATCTCATGCCTTTTTCACGCACGGCCATTTCTCACTTCCACCCGTGTCTCTGCTTTTCTCTCCACCTCTCCTGGCCTCTCTGTCTCTGTTTCTGCTGAGCTGGCATCTCTACCATCTCTCTCTCCCTCTCTGTCTGTGACTGTCTCTGCCCTCACCAGCTGCCTTGCTCTGGGGTGAGTCTGTCTGTGTTTCATTCCATCCAGTCAAGGGGAGGGTGACTTGGGGGGTGTGGGGTAGAGGGCCGAATGGGGGGAACTCCCTCTGGACATGGGGACACGGGGCAGCGATGGGGGGGCGGGTCTGTGCCTGGCGTTCCCTTGTGATAGCACCACCAAGCTGGGGCTGGGTGGGAGAGGTTCCTGGGATGAGAGCAGGAACCCTGGGATGAGAGCTCTTTGGAGAGGACCTGACCAGACCTGGGGAGGGGCTTGGAGAGGCGGTGGGAATCCCTCCGACTCCTGTCCCTGAGAGACCGCGTCGGCCCCACAGGCAGGCTCGGCTAGGGAACTGATGTCAGCATCCTTCCTCTCTGCCAGGGAGGACTCTCCAGGCTTGTGGCCGGGGGCAGGTACCATCCGCCTGGAACAGGATGTGTTCTCGGCCCTGGCAGGGCAAGGCCAGATATATGTGTACCTCACTGACGGGATCTGGAGCCAGATCAAGTCTGCAGGGTATGAGAGCCTGGGGTGGGGTGGGGGGTTCTGGGGCTCTGGTGGAGATGCTGGGTCACCTGGGGGGTTAAGACGTTGGGGTGATAGGCACAGGCCCTGCTGGCCCCTGAGCCCCTGCCCCCTCTTTGTGGCCCCTAGCTCAGCCCTCTATGCCTCCCGCCTTTATCTGGGCCGCTACGAGTTCACTCACCCAGAACGGCTGGCTAAGCACACGCCAGGAGGTCCACAGATCCGAGGTACCCACCCTACCCCAAATCTTAACCTTCACCCTCCACCACAGCCCCCTCTGCCCTCTGAGCCAGGACTGCTGACCTCAGTCCAGAGTTGAAGTCTCAATCCCTGCCCCTTCCCATCCAGATATGGTTTTGGGAATTTGCACCCAGGACCTCTCTTCTGCTTCTAGGAAACGTTTACATCCACCCAACGGCTAAGGTGGCCCCATCAGCTGTGGTAAGCACTGGGCCCAGACCCAGGGGAAAGACGGGTGGCGGTGAGGGTGGGTGGGTAGCACTGGTCTCCCCACTTTGTCACAACCTGTTGTTTGGCCTCAAGCCGGTCGTTTCTCCCTCATCTGTTCTAGGAGGGGATTGGACCTGGGGACCTCCAGGTCCCTCCAGGGCTTATGGTGTGTGTTCTTCCCCACAGCTGGGCCCCAACGTCTCCATTGGGAAGGGGGTGACGGTGGGCGAGGGCGTGCGTCTCCGGGAGAGCATTGTCCTCCACGGAGCCACAATACAGGTAGGAACCAGTGGAACCAGTGTATACATGGCAGCGTGTGGCACCCCAAGGGGCTGAGGGGAGGGCCCGGTACCCGCCCCCCAGAGCAGAGAAAAAGGGTGAACCAGATGCATCTGGCCACATCTGATGTACCCACCCATTCCCCACCCGTTCCTGCTGCCTCCCCCCGCCCCCCCACATCCTGTTGGACAGGAGCACACGTGTGTTCTGCACAGCATCGTGGGCTGGGGGAGCACCGTGGGGCGCTGGGCCCGCGTGGAGGGTACCCCCAACGACCCCAACCCCAACGACCCGCGGGCCCGCATGGACAGTGAGAGCCTCTTCAAGGACGGGAAGCTGCTGCCTGCCATCACCATCCTGGGTACGGCTTCCCTGGGGGCTGGGAATGTGAGAACACCCACAGGTGATGGCCAGTGGTCTGTGGGGAGCATTTGTTTCTCTGTGTGTGCGTGAGTTTCTTCTTTTAGCAAACAGCAAGTGCCTGCTGTGTGCCAGGCCCTGGGTGAGTCACTGGGGGCATGAGGCCAGGGGCGCAGATGGGCAGGGAGGGATCCCTCCCTGCTGGCAGTGGCCCCCAGGTCCCCCTGGTGCCCTGCGACCTCCCCCTGGTGCCCGGTCCACACTGCAGGCTGCCGCGTCCGGATCCCTGCCGAGGTGCTCATCCTGAACTCGATTGTTCTGCCACACAAGGAGCTGAGCCGCAGCTTCACCAACCAGATCATCCTCTGACGGGGGCTGCCAGAAGGCCCCCCCAACTCCTACCCGCTCCCCTTGAGGCTGCTGCTTGCTTGCCCAGCCTCTGTCCAGAAAGGACCAGAGGAAGCCAGGCAGGACCTTCACACGCCGGGAGCAGTGTGGGTGGCCTAGGACTCTTGGCCTCTCTCCCAACTCCCTAATAAACCCCGTGAACCTTGGAGCCAGCATGGACTCCGCCTGTGCCTGGGCTGGGGGTGGGGGCGGAAGCAGGGCAGCTGAGTCAGGCCCCCCCACATTAGCATTTAAATTGGAGTCGTAGCTGTGGGCTCATGAATAATGAATCTGGAGCCCTGGTAAATCTCCCCCTCCCACCGCCTCAGCCTCAGCCTCCTGCACTGCTCGGGAGGAAGGCCCTCTAGGCTCCCAGCCCGCCTGGCCCCCTTTCGCCCTGCTTGCCTGCCTCCCTGTCCCTCCCCACTGGGCCTGGCTCAGGCTCTCAGGGGTAAGGGTCCCGCAGGGCAGGACGAAGGATTTCAGTTGGGCGGTGGGCCGGGCGCAGGGGCCACAGGCTTGGAGGCTGGTCCCGGCAGCTCACTCTGCTCAGTTCCTGCCGAGCCCCATTCGTGGCCTTTTTTCCGCTTTGCCAGCGCCATCTGCTCCCAGCCTGGCTTTTGGCGGGGTGGGGGTTTCCACCCCCGCTTGAGGCCTCCAGTCTCAGTCTCCTACTCCCCTGGCTGCCAGGGCAGATCTGAGCCGGTGCCATTCTCTGGAAGCTCAGTGGGAGGCCCCCTGTTCTGGGAGGGGCCAGGCCACCTCCCATCACCCTGGCTCTGCCCTTTGGGAGGTCTCCACCCTCCTTTCCCAACCATCTCGTGTTTGCCCATGACCCCCGTGTGCCCCTCTCGGTGCCCCCCTTTCCCCAGCTGTGGGTGCGGAGCCGAGTTGCCAGATGAGCTGGTAATGATCGTAATCTGCTAATTGAGAGGAATCTAATTACCCGAAGAGAATGGGGGGGGCAGGGTGTGGGTGGAGGGAGGAGGGTGTCCTGGCAGCAGGCAGGGGTGGCAGGCGGCAGGGTGCTGGGGGCCTTGTTGTCAGCACCAGGGACTGGGACAGAGCCCAGGATTTCGTGGCTTCGTAGCTGGGCAGTTAGGAAGATGTGCTTCCTCTGGAGTTGGGCTGAGGTCGGGATCAGGCTGGATGTGACCTCCCAGGGCTGTGTGGGAGCCTGTAGGGTGTGCCTCGGTTCCGACAGCCCTGACCGGTAACCTGCCTCTGTTTGAGCCTTGCCTCCATCCCAGGCCTTCCGTCATCCCTCTGTGTGGGGCTGGGAGGGGACTGTAGGTCCCCACTCTGGGCCTGGGGTCAGGAAGGGGCTGGGAGAGGGATGGGCCCTAGGGCGGGGGTCTTGGTTGCTTCCCTCTCCTCCCCCCAGTCCTGACCCTTCTGTTCCGAGTGGTTGGCAGAGGCCGTGGCAGCTCCATCATAAATATGATAATTTAATTATTTTCTCAGCAAAACACCGTGAAATCCAATAAGTCTGTGTCAGGCCCTGGCCCCCGGGATCCCCCTCCTAGACCCAGTGGGGGTGGGGACATGGTGGGGAGAGGCATGGAAGGGAACAGGGTCAGTGTTTGAAGGGGAGGCAGGTAGTGAAGCTGAATCTTTGTCACATGCCACTGTTGGCTGAGGGAGCCACTGTTGGGGGGGGGTCTAAGGACAGAAGTTGTAATGCCCTCCCTTTTCTCCAGCCCTCTTCTGTGCAGGGAGGGGCCTAAGGTGTGGGAGCACCCTGCCTCTGGAGGGGAGCCCTCTTCCACCACCTCTGGGACCCTGCACCCAGCCTTCATTGGCCCTGTTGGGGTAGGAGGGTGCCAGCCCCAGGGAGGGATTGAGGAGGGAGAAACAGGAGGGAATGGGTGGGAAGTAGGGGGTGAACGAGGGGGGGAGGGATGCGGGGGAGGGGTGTGCTCCTGCCATTAGCGCTTTTTTCGGTTTCCATAAAAAGATCATTCTGTAAAATCAGCGAGGGGGAGCAAGCTGGGGGCCGGGGAGGGGGGTGGGTCCCTGGCACCAAGCTGGATGGGGCGACAGGGGAGGAGAGCTGGGGACAGGGACTGAGTGGAGAGAAATTTGGATGGGCTTCAGGAGCCAGCAGAGGGGAGAGGCTGAGCCAAGAACACAGACTGGGGAGGCTGGCTGGGCCTGGCTGGGGTGGGGCAGGCAGGGCAGGGCACTCATCTCCCTCCTGTCCCTTTGGCCAGGCTGGGGGGTGCGGGGCCCAGTCCCACCACCATCTCATCCCCTCCCCCAGCACTTAGCAGCCATTATGGGGGAGCAGATTGCAGCCCCCTCCTCCTCTCCGGGAAGCAGGCACAGCTGGGCCCCGCCACATGTGCCGCTTCAGCACGGAGCACAGCTGGGTGTGCCCAGAGCCTCGCTCCCCAAAACACAAAGGGGGTGGGCGTGGGCCAAGGAGAGCCCAGACCCCTGAGACAGACACACTGACACCTCTGCCAACAGACACTCCTTGAGGCGAAGCTACACCCACCAACACACGCTCCCTCGTGTGCAGAGACGGGAGAACTGGCAAACACGCAATTACCCAGCCCCGCCTGCCACCCCCGATCCCGTCCCCCAGCCCCTCCTCTTCCCCTTCCTTCCCCCGGGGCTCCCCTCTGTCACCGCGGCCACCTTGGAGCTGCCCTGGGCTCTGATCTGGAGGGAGCTGGGGGCGGCTCAGAGAGCGGGAGGGCAGGGGGTGGTGACGGGTGTCTGGGTCTGAGGCATGAACCCTGGGAAGCCACCTGCCCCCTCCAAGCCCACACCCTCCCCACAAAGAAGCCTCCTCCAAAACTCTGGTCCTTCCCGCAGCCTGGGCTCAGTGGGGTCTCCGTGCCCTATTCCCTGTGGCTCTCTTGTGTTCCATTGGCTGCCTCAAGGAGGCGCTCTGTGCCCTCAGTGTCTCCAGCCATCAGCTCAGCAGCTCCCAGGGCTGGCTCCTGCCACTTCCCCCCATAATCCGCCGGGACCCTACCCTCAGCAGGCACCCCTCTCCGCTTAGCTCTGCTGCCCCTGACACGCGTAGAGTATGGGGGCCCCATCAATGGCAGAAAGGCCCCCTCCCCAGAACAGACGATCAGGAGTTCCTCCTTTCCCAGTCGATGACCACCTCTTCGCCCCTGATTAAATCCTGCCCCCTTTGCAGCCTTCACTTTTCCCATTCATCTCCTTGGCCCTGGTGTCTTGCCCTCAACCCTCCCCTCCCTGCCCCCCACCCCCTCCCACACCGCCCCCCCATGCCCCTCAGAGCTTTAATCCCTCCCGCTGCTGTGCAGCCTTATCTGCTCCCAGCAGCTTTCGCTGCTGCAAAGCCCTCTCCCCCTCCTTCTCCGGATCTCCCCCTCCTTCCCCAGCTCTCTCTGCTCTCTGGCCAGCCCCCTCTTCCTGGCCAGTCTGTTTCTGCCACTCAGGCCCCCATTGTGGCTCTTGGCTGACCCCAGATCTGCACCCCAATGCCCTTTGCCCTCTCCTCTCTCCAGCCTCAGCTGCAAGCCTGGGGGCTGCCTACCCACTCCCACCATGCCTCTTCCATCCCAACCCTCCCTGCGGGCTGCATAGACTGTTAGTTTCTGGCCAGCCAGGAGTTTTTATCTCTCCTCTTCCTGCCCTCCCTTTCCTGCTCCCCAACCCACTGTCCCAGACCTGGCCCCCTTCAGTCCGAGGGACCCATTGCCTCGGCTTGGGAGCATCTGAAAGGGGATGGAGGTGTTGGTGCAAGACACAGGAGAGGATGCTGGCCCGGCTCGCCCTAGGAGGATGGGGCAGGGGGGTGCAAAGATACTGGCCCACAGTGGGGGCAGGGCCTGGCAGTGGGACACTAACCCTCTTCAGTCGCCTCAGATCACGTTCGGGCCTCCCCACCCCCTTCGCTGGGACTCTCATTAACCGCTTCTCCTGCCTCGTCCACAGCATAAATAACCCAGATAAATCAGCCGCCGTCCGCCCCCCGCCCCTCGGCCCCCGCACAGCCCGTTTGTCACCGCTGCTCGCTCACCAGCCAGGCCTGGCGCGGCCCCGGCCCGGCCCCCCCATCCTTGTCCCTTCCCACCCACGTCTGTCCCACACTGGCTCATCCCTTGATCCACACCAGAGCCAGGTGTCTGGGCTGGGGAGGGTGACCAGGGGGTGTCCCTGAGAGCAGGGGAGGCTGGGGACCACCTAGGAGAATGATGTCTAGGAGCTAGGGGGTCGTTTAGTTTATGAATAGGGCCAGCCAGGCAGGGAGTCTGGGGGCCAGGTTGGGGGTCCCTGTGCCAATAAGAGGCTTCCTTGGAGCCCCCCAGGTTGGGTCCTGGGAGGTCTTCAGGTCTCCCTTGGTGGGATTTTGCCCAAAACATCCATGCCTCCTCCCAGGCCCCTAAGCCAGGGAGTCCTGCTCTCCCGATCACCCCCTCAGCCTCTGCCCCCTATTCCCGGTGCTCTGCCTAGTCACTCCAGTCTCCACCTGCCAGCTCATCTACCACTTTCTTTCTCGCAGCAGGAAGCCTAGTTCATTCCCTGAGGGGTGGAGGTAGGTGGAGATTGGACCGGCAACAAATCCGGTGAATGGGGACAGAGGGAGGGTTCAGGAGCCCTGGCTGAGGCTTCGTGTTCTGACCCTGCAACACCCCCTCCCTGCACTCCCTTCGCCCACACCCAGCTCAGGTCCTGGCGGACCACACTTGGCCCTGAAGCTTCACTGCAAGGGGCAGCTGGTCCCCCGGGAATGGGTGGGGGCAGCAGGGAGGGATGGGGAGCTTGGGCGCAGGGCTGCCGTGGGGGTGGGGAAGAAGCTGGGCCGGGCCCCAGGGACCAGCTGGGCAATGAGCCGGGGAAGCAGCCGGGAGGCTAAATGAGGGAGATTATCACCCAACTGCAGCCGGGCAGAGAGGGAGGCAGGCAGGGAAGCGGGGAGAGGGAGGGGTGAGGGGACGGGCCAGAGGCGAAGGGGGTACAGAGGGACTGGGAGGGGGCCGGAAGAGACTGGAGAGGAGGGAAAGGTCAAGAGATGAGCTGGAAGGGTGGGGGGCGCCCACTGAGCGTAACCACATTCCTGGAGGTCTACGAGGCTGGATGATGGGGACTTAGGGACAATTGGAGACAGCTGGGTGTGGGGCAATGGTGCGGTGTGCATGCAGCTAACCACTCCACATCCCAGTAGTCTGGGGCTCCCCACAAAAACCCCACTTCCTGCTCCCCCATACCCAGTTACCACCCAGCTTCATTCCCTATAGAGGTTGAAGGCTTCCTGCCATCCCTTGAAAGGAAAAAGGGTGTGATTTGAGCCATGATGAAGGCCATGTTGTGGGGAGAGTGTGACCCCGAGATTTCAATGGATGGCAGGGGAATTCAGGGGTATGTACAGAATCCAGGGCAGCAGCGGGTGCTGGGGGGAGCTTGGGGGGCAGCTCCCTGCTTTCTTGGCAGAGACCCAGACTGAAATAACCTTAAAAAAGCAATTAAATCACCTTTTAAAAAAAACCCAGTAAAGAAAAATCAATATTGGGAGAAAGGGGAAGAGAGAAAAGGATGGGGAGGAACAGTGGGGAGAGCTTTGGAAAGATCTGGAAGTCTACCAGGGAGGGAAGAGCATGGGAGGGGGCTATCTAGGCATGGGGCAGACAGAGGGGGACTGTCTGTGGTCACTTGGACACCCTTAGCTCCAACTCAGCAGCTGCTTCCAATGCCAACCCCACTCTCCCCTCTGGGACACTGTGTCCCAGCCAGAGGTGGCACCTGAGCCCAGGGGTCTTATATGCCTGGCCTGGGGAGTCAGCTGACCCAGACCCATCCAGACCTGTGGGGATGCCCAGGTGTGGGGCCCCTGAGGAAGCCACTCTGCTGAAAAGTAGGGACAACCTAGGCAGGGCGCCATGCATGCAGGACTGGGTATGGGGCAGGCTCCATGCTGGGGCGACCCTGATAGGGCCTGACCTGGCCTTGCAGCCAGGGTGGGCAAAGTGGCTCCCTGCCGGCAAGGGAGCTATCCCTGGGTCTCTCCCATGGGGCCAGGCCTGCCGCAGGTGTCCGGGTGGCCGCAGGGGGTGGGGTGGCCGTTGGGCAGCGAGTGGACCTCGGGCTCTAATCCCCAGCAGCTGCCGTTTCCCTCAGATCGATTCCCTTCTCACTTTTTTTTCAGCTGCTGGTTCCTCGGCTTGGATCGATGGAGCCGCCTCCCTCCGCCCTTCTGAGCTTCCTCTCCCTGCTGCTCATTAGCGCCCCGATTAATCAGCCCCCCTTTCCTCCAGGGGACAAGTGCTTCCTCCCCCATGAGGGCTCACGCTCTCACGTGGCCCCCAGAGCATAAGCGGCTCATCCTTGCCACCCCCACCTTGGGGGTACCGACTGATGCATCCCCCCTGGCCAGCCCACAGAGGCTCCCAGCCCTGCTGTGACGACTGTCCCCAAGCCTGCTCCCCCTCCACAGGAACACAGCAGTCCCCCTGGGGCTCCCCTGCCCCACTCTGCCAGGTGGCCGGGCACCCCTTGTATCTGCTTCACCAAGACAGTACTCCCTCCCCCTGGAGCCCAGCACAGCTCCCTGCTCCCTTCGACACTCTCACCGGGCAGGCTATTCCTCACCCTGTACCGCCTGCTCCCCCTACATATGAGAGCCCCCCACATCATACCTCTCCAGTGCTCCCCAGCTTGTTTACCCAGTGCCCCTCTCCCCAAGCCTGGTTGTGATAGGGGATTTGGGGAACATTTGGGGAAGCAAAGTGGCCACAGATGTGAAAGTCAGCCAGGGCACTGTCCCAGACGCATGAGTGACTGAGGCTGGGGCTGGAGGCGCAGTGAGGGAGAGGGCAGCCATTCTCCCAGAGGAGCAGGGAGGGGCATGGTGGATGCTGAAGTTGGGAGCAAAGCTCTAGGGAAGCCAGAGAATCTTGGTGGACTCATGGTTGTCCCCTGGTCTGTCTTGTCTTCCTCCTCTCCCCTCCCCTCCCTTCCCTCATTCAAACAAGTGGCTCTCTCAAGGAGTTTCTGGAAGCTGCTGTGAATGGGGTAGTGGAATCAGGTGGTGGCTGGGTGCTGAAGTCAGGGAGGCCAGGAGGTAGGGGACTGAGTTGGCTGACCCCTCCTATGGCATGGTCCAGAAAAGTGGCAGAGAGTGAGCTGAGGACTGAGTGCAGCACTCTTCCCTGGGTGGCCAGAGAGTGGGGACATCTGGGGACCCCAAGAGTGGCTAGGGTGTAGCAAGAGTTTAGGGGGCAGCCCCGTCCTGCGATCCCTGCCCCGGGCTGGGGGCTGCCCCCTCCCCTGGCCTGGCTCCTGCCGCCCATGCTGCCGGTGAAACGCTGTTGACATGTCCTGAATTATTAAGCACGGGGTGGGCTCCGGAGCACATGCTGAGCGGAGCGGCTGGGGCTGCGCGGCGTGGCGGAGTGGCGGAGCAGCGCTCGCTCTCTCGCTCACTCGCTCGCTTGCAGAGACACACGCAGGGGCTGACAGCTGTGCTGGTGCTGATAAGGGAAGCCACAAGGAGACGATCGAGGAGAGAGACAAGCGGCAGCAGAGGCAGCAGCGGCAGAGGCAGCACCAGGGCTGCGGAGCTGCTGGGAGTGGGAGTGACTCCCCCACCTCGGGCCCCCACCCTGTCCCCGTCCTCCTCCCGCTTGCCCTGAGTTTAGAAGAGCAGCCGCTGCCACCACCGCCACTCCGGAGGGCACCGGGGCTGCTGGCTAGGGAAAGACAGGGGCAGGGAGGCTCTGGCCAGTCCCAGCAGCCGGGGACAGATGCCGATCGAGATTGTGTGCAAAATCAAATTTGCTGAGGAGGATGCGAAACCCAAGGAGAAGGAGGCAGGGGATGAGCAGAGCCTCCTGGGGGCTGCTCCGGGGGCAACTGCCCCCCGGGACCTGGCCACCTTTGCCAGCACCAGCACTCTGCACGGGCTGGGCCGGGCCTGTGGCCCAGGCCCCCACGGACTGCGCAGGACCCTGTGGGCACTGGCCCTACTCACCTCGCTGGCCGCCTTCCTCTACCAGGCGGCCGGCCTGGCCCGGGGCTACCTGACCCGGCCTCACCTGGTGGCAATGGACCCTGCTGCCCCAGCCCCAGTGGCAGGCTTCCCAGCTGTCACCCTCTGCAACATCAACCGCTTCCGACATTCGGCACTCAGCGATGCTGACATCTTCCACCTGGCCAATCTGACAGGGCTGCCCCCTAAAGACAGGGATGGGCACCGTGCCGCTGGCCTTCGCTACCCGGAGCCCGATATGGTAGACATCCTCAACCGCACTGGCCACCAGCTCGCCGACATGCTCAAGAGCTGCAACTTCAGTGGGCATCACTGCTCCGCCAGCAACTTCTCCGTGGTAAGTTCTGCCAGCTGGGCCGCCTGACCTGGGGTAGCCAGAGGCCAGGGGGTGGGGAGGAGCCGGTGGCAGGGGTGTGCAGGGGCATCCTCAACAGGGCTTCCCTTCCTTCCGCCACCAGAGGCTGGCCTCGTGTCTCCCCCGAGCCTGGTGTTTCCCACTGGCTTCCCAGCCGTGGAGCAGTGGACGCACAGGGGCTTACCCCAGGGCTGCCGCTCCTCTTCCTGGTTTGGCTGCGGCTGCAGTGTCCAGCTCTGGGGGCTGGGGCGGGGTGTCCTGGGGGCGGGCCCAGGTGTCCTGGAGCTGGTCAGCATTCAGGGAAGGGACGCACCATCCCAAGGCTGGATCAACTGACTCCCACTTTTCTCTTGTTCCCCTTTTCTTCTGAGGCTACTGGAGTCTTCTCCCCATCAAATGAGGGTGATGGGGAGGGGGTGTTTGGGGGCTCCGGCTAGGGAAGGACTCAGGGCTGCCTCCTGGGGAGCTGGCCGGGCAGGCAGGCTGGAGAGAGCCGGTCCTCATGCACACTGGGTGCCAGTGTCTCTTCTCTGGCCCTGTGTGTCTCACACACCCCCTTCACAGGCTCCCTCACACATCCCTCTTTCATTCTGCCCCTCCAGCTCTCCCGCAGGCCAGGCCCCCTCCGCTCCCCTGCCCAGCCCTGGCTCTGGCACTGGGAATCATTGATGCACTCTCATGTGCATAACTCACCCTCACTGCTGCCCTGGTATGCGCGCACACACACACATCTACTGCTCGGGGACACAGTTTCCCCGCACACTCCCTCTCGCACACACACTCAGCGTCTCTGTCACGACATTCACGTGCACACCTGCACACCCACACACCCAGAGAGCTACTCATCTCCTCGCCCATATCCCAGCTTTTGCTTAGCTGCCAAGGACAGGGTCACGCTGTGGCTGCCATCCCCTCTGGTGACACCCCCGCCCCCATCTATCTCAGTTGCTGCTCCCCATGTGGGGACTGCTGGCGCCATCTCTCACTTACGTGTGAATGCAAACACACAGTACCCACCTTCAGGTGTGTGAGGGGGTGGGTGTGTCTTGTATGCTGTCTGTCTGTCTGTCAGTGCTCCATTCACCCACAATCACAGGGTATCTAGTATTCATGGTGCTTGAGACACCTGCCCCCATCCACGGTCTGCTCCCAGCATTGTGTGTGTGTGTGTGTATGTGTGTGTGTGTGTGTGTGTGTGTTTTCATCCTTGTTACCACTGCCCATTGCATATGCAAATGCACGGTGTCAACATGGTGCCCACTCTGGCCCAGCCTCCAGTAGCCAGCCCCAGTGATGGGGAACCCCGCCAGGTTCTCACTCACGTGCCCCCTCAGTGTCACCAGGGAACGTGCTCCAACTAGGCTCCTGGCCCCCACCCTGCCTGCAGTGTCTGGGGCTTCCTGCCATTGGGTGGAGGAGTTAGGTAGAAATCCAGGGACAGGAAGGAGAGCATTGTCCAGGGACAAGAGTAAGGGGGCATTGGTCTATCGTCCGGATGTACACCCGTTCTCCTAGGGAAAAAATCACTGCTCCTCAAAGCCAGGGCTGGGAGAGCCCCAAGGAGGAGGTGGGGTGTGAGTGTGGCCTTTAGGATCCATGGGGCTTCTCTGTCCTACTTGTGCTGGGGGCTGGGCAGAGCCCAGTCTCAGCAGGTGCTGTTGGGGCAGAAATCAATGGGGCCTTTGTGTCCCTGAGTGGGAGTTTGTGTCTCAGGCCCTGGTTGGGGGTGGGCAGGAAAGGGGAAGGGTGCTGTGACCTGAGTGAGAGGGAAGGGGAGGAAAGGATGGAGGGCTGAGGAAGTACAGGGGGAGGCAAAGCGTCCCCTGGCCTCCAGGACAGCAGGAGGGACCTGCAGCATACCAGAACAGGGAGTCCCACGGAATCCTGGGGATGGCTGGGAGGAGTGAGGGTGGATTTCCCACAGTGCCTTCGGTACCGTGGAGCTGGAGAGAGGAGGAGTGTAGAAGTCTGCGGCTCACAGCTCAGCTAGGGCAGGACAGTGCGGGGAGGAGGGCAAAGCCAGCATCAGAGGCAGGAATTCCCCAGCGCCTACTCTCCACGTCCCCAGCCCAGTCTGGTACCTCTGCCCACACCTTCCCTGTCTGCTCGGTGCAAGGCTCCCTTGGACCTGGCATTCTCCGGCTGAGTCTGCACCAAATTCACCAGGGTCTGGAATTGTGGGTTGGGATGGGGGCCCATGATCCATGGCAATGAGGGAGGTGGGGTGTATTGTGGGGCAAGGCTGGAGAAGGGGCATGCAGATGAAGATATGGGGTCTCTCATGAGGACGCGAGGTCCATATTCGACTGTGGTGAGGACGTGGAGTCCACGATGGGGTCTAAAGTGGGGAGATGGGTACGTGTACCAACTGCTGGGAGCCCGCCAGGGTGGTGAGGTGGTCAGAGACAGGCCAGGCTTCAGTAAGGGGCTGGTTTGTGTTTTCTGTTGCTTTCCCTGTTTCCTCCCTCCCACTCCCCACTCTGCTGTGACCTTTCCTCCGGAATCCAAGTTAATAAATGTCACATTTTCCAGCCTATTTTTACTCCGGGTAATGCACCCTCCCCCAGTCCCCTCTGCTGCTGCTCTTGCTTCTGTTACCACTGCAATCGCTCTCCCCCCACACTCCCTAATATCCCCTCATCTGCTCCCAATCAGTCAGCCGATCAATCAACATGGGGTTCTGTGTGCCTACTGTGTGTTGGGCTCCCTGCTCAGAGCTGTGGGGCACAGCAAAGGGAAGCCCTGTTCCCAGTCCCTGTCCTCAAGCAGCCTATAGTCTTGTGGTGGAGCAGGCACAAGGACACTCAAAAGCTTAAGCAACCATGCAAGAGTTAATCAGCCATGCAAGCAGTGTCGTCAGGTGCCAGGATCAATTGCCAGGCAAGGTGCATGGATAAGAAGAGCCCGAGTTCAGAGAGAGAGGCCACTCTGGGCTGAGGAGCCCTGGAAAGCCCTAAGGGATGAGGCGGTCTTGAGAGGAGGGGACGGAAGAGGGGAGAAAGAGGGGAGAGGGCCCTGTGTGGTGGGGGGGGTGTCTTCTTCTCCACCCCTGCTAGCTCCAGCTAGCTCACCTCAGCCCTTCCCTTTCCCTCTCCCCTCCTCACCCAGTCTCATGCTGAGCCACTCCCACCTATGCCTCCTACTTTTACCACCACCTCTATGTCCCCCACCCCAGCCTTGTAGCTGGCTCTCCCTTGCTCCCTGTTTCCTGCCACCGTCTACACCCTCACCTCCATGCTCCAAGCCCAGCTGTACTTTCCCCGCTGTAGCTTGCGCTCAGCCTGCCTCTTACTAGAAGACAGAAGGCACTTTCTCCCTAGGCTTGTTTCTTGAGCTGTAAAATGCAAGGGTGGCTCTAACATTCAGCATCTCTCAGCTGCGGACTGTACACTGGAGTGGCCCATTGTGTGGGTTCTGGAGCAGCCTGACCACCTAGATTTGAACCTCTATTCTACCCGTTAAGCTATGTGGCCTTGGGGAAGCAAAAAAAACCTCTGTGAGCATGTCTGTATATTTGTTAAATAGGATATTAGAAACTAAAAATTCGGGGTTGTTTTTGAGGAATCAAGAGACGCTTGTAAAGAGCTTAGGACACTGCTTGGCACACACACAGTATATGCACTCTGTACGTGTCAGCTGTTAGAAATGCCAGCACCCTGCCGGGCACGGCAGCTCACACCTGTAATCCTAGCACTCTGGGAGGCCAAGGCAGGAGGATTGCTTGAGGTCAGGAGTTCAAGACCAGCCTGAGCAAGAGAGAGACCCCATCTCTACTAAAATTAGAAATAAGCTAGAAACTACTAAAAATAGAAAAAAATTAGCCAAGTGTGGTGGCACATGCCTGTAGTACCAGCTACTTGGGAGGCTGACGCAAGAGGATTGCTTGAGCCCAGGAGTTTGAGGTTGCTATGAGCTAGGCTGACACCACGGCATTCTAGCCTGGGCAACAGAGCAAGACTGTCTCAAAAAAAAAAAAAAGCCACCACCTCAACTCCTGGCTGTCTTTAACCTGACAGTTCCTAGCACTACCTACTGGTTTCTGGCCCATGCATTGGGGTCACCGCTATTGTCCGTCACCTAGTCTTCCCCTGCTTTTGACCCTCCAGTCCACACCCTCCTCTGCCCTGTTCTGGCATCCCATTCTATTCAGCCCACCCAAATATGCACACATGTGTGCACATGTGCAGCAGTGCACACACGGTCTAGATCAGTGCTGGCCAAGGGAACACTCTGTGACGACAGAAGTGCTCTGTGTCTGTGCTGTCCAATATGGTAGTCACTAGCCACATGTGGCTAGTGAGCACTTGAAATATGATTAGTGTGACGGAAAATGAATTTCAATTCAAATAGCCACATGTGGCTAGAGTCCGCCGTCTTGGACGGCACAGCTCTCCATAGCCCTAGGAATGAGGTTTAGACTGCCTGGGTAGGGCCAGGCTGGGAATTACAGGAACCCAAGGATATAAGGTAATGGCTGCAGGCTGTGATCGGATGTCAGGCTGTCTACTCTCGGGGCTGAGGTCCCAGGTTGAGCTGAGGCCAGGGCCTGAGTCTGGGGGCTGGGGGTCATTGGGGTGTCTGGAAACACCATGTGAGCAATGGTACCTTTCTTCTCAGGTGCAGGACATGACCTTGGTCCTTTATATTCTACTGTCTGTAAACTTGAGGCATGGGAGTTGGGTGGAGAAGCTCTAAAGAGGCTGGGGTACGACCCAGCCGCTCTCCTTGGGGTCCTCAAGGAGGGCTAGGCTAGGCTCTGGAGGGCCAGGAGATGAGGGGGCCCTGTGGGTGCCTTACATCCCCTCTGGGCTCTGAGGCTTCCCTCCCCCTCCCGACCCTTCTTCCCCACACGCTGGTGACTGCCGTGACTATTAATCACTCGCCCTGTTCTCTTCCTCTCTACTAATCAGGCACAATTAGACAAGGCCTCTTCCAGCTGGGCAGTCCCTCCCTGCCCTCCTCCCTCCTCTACCAGCTCCACC